AGTCAGAAGCAAAACACTTTTGAGGATGGACAGGGTGATAGGAGAGAGAGTAGAATAAATGGGGAGAAAATAGGATGGAGAGAAATACGCAGTAATCATAACCAAAAAAAATTATAGCAAGTATCTTATAAAGGCCTCATTTTTCAAACCTAAAGAACTGAGTCAAATTTATAAGAACAAGAGCCATTCTTCAGTTGATAAGTGGTCAGAGGATACGAACAGATACTTTTCAGATGAAGAAATAAAAGCTATCTATAATCATATGAAAAAATACTCCAAATCACTGTTAACTAGAGAAATGCAATTTAAAGCACCTCTGAGGTACCATTCCACACCTATCAGATTGGCTGTGATAGAAAAGAAAAATGACAAATATTGGAGGGGATGTGGGGAAATTGAGACACTAAAGCACTGTTGGTAGAGTTGTGAACTGATTCAGCCATTCTGAACAGCAATTTGGAATTATGCCCAAAGGGCTATAAAACTGTAAATACCCTTTGACCCAGCAACCACTACTAGGTTTATATCCCAAAGAAATTTAAAAAAAAAAAAGGAAAAAGGACCCATATGTACAAAAAATATTCTTAGCAACTCTTTTAGTGATGGCAAGGATTTAGAAATTGAGAGGATGCCCATCAATTGGGGAATGGCTGCACAAGTTGTGGTATGTGATTGTGATGGAATACTGTTGTGCTATAAGAACTAACAAGCAGGATGCTTTCAAGAAAAACCTGGAAAGACTTACATGAACTGATGCAAAGTAAAGTGAGCAGAACCAGGAGAACAATTATCCAAGATAATTCCTAAGAACTTATAACAAAAAAATGCTTTCCACCTCCAGAGAAAGAACTGATAGAGTCTGAATACAGATCAAAACATGTTTTTTTTTTTACTTTATTTTTCTTGGTTTTTTTCTTTGTTTCTTTTATAGCATAACTAATATGGATATGTTTTGTGTGACTGCACATGTATAAACTATGTCAAATTGCTTTCCTTCTCAGTATAGGGAGGGAGGAAAAGAGGGAGAGAATTGGGAACTCAAAGTTTTAAGAAATGAATGTTAAAATTGTTTTTTTACATGTAATTGGGGGGAAAATAAAATTTTTTAAATTTAAAAAAAAATGCCCTCTTCATGTGCACTGGGGAGCCCTTCTCATTTCTTGTAACCCCCAAGAACTGCTTGGATGGTAGTTATCCCTTTTGATATTATAATAAAGGTGTTGTCTGAAGAAATGTACTGTACTTCCACCTTCATATGTTAAACAATATTTATCTTATCTTAGTAGTCTATTTTATGCCTATTTTAATTTATTATACTTGAAAAACTCAGCAACTTCCTTTCACAAATATAATTTAGATAAGAAAGTATGATTATTCTGACATGAACATATTACCTTGATAAGTTAAATGTGACTATTGTCTTATATTTTACATTGTAAGAAAGATGATTATTAAACCTAAAAAAATATTTTAACTATTCTTTTAGGTTTTTTCTTCTTTAAAAAAAATTCTCCCAATCTACATAGGGAACAGTCACTTAAATGTGAAAATCAGGGTTTTCTTTTTTTTCCCAAAGGGGTCATTTTATTGCAAAAAAAAAAATTCCAAAGGTTTCTATTATGACTTTTCAGATTACCAAAATGCTTAACAGCTTAAACTGCCTCTCCCAAACCACTGTATTGCAGCAAGAAAAGTCCTGTAAAGTGGTTCTTTGTAATGCTGCCTTAAAATGTTTTGTCAAAACCACAGATGATCCTATTGGAACATACCAGAGGTATTAAAGTAGTCCAAGATGTCTTTAACAATATGCTTTACAAATAATTCTTGTGTACAAATTCTCATTGTATTTAATTTCTGACTTGGTGCTTCTCCTTGTGAGACAAACTCACAATCACCCACCCACAATTGTGGACAGCTCTAGCATTTTATTTAACACCAGAAAAGAGGTTCATCTGCTAATTAAGAGTAGTTATTTTACAGAGTTCCCTCCTCAAAGGCTTCCTTAATGTTTTGGGTAAGCTGCTTATCTTTTTCCCTTGCCTTATGGGAATTTTTAATGCATGAGAAACACTGGAATCTAAAATGATCTTTCTCCCTTTATGAAACATGCAGCAGAAATGTAATACATAAAGACACTTTACGCACACAAAAGTGAATTCACCAATTCCAAACTCATCAGTTTTTGAGAACCAACCACTAAGTGAATGGACATAAGCTGATCCCCCTCTATAAACTATGTGAAAGAGATGAGACTGTGTTTCAGATCAACACTTTGCAGAACCATCTCCCCATTAATTGTGCTTAGTGCAATTAACTTCCCATTTACTCTAAATTCCCTTTTTCTGAACCCAAGCAAGATTTCTGTTCCTTAAATAGCATAAACTTCATGATTTTCACCTGTCAGTGTGCCTGTTTCCATGAGAAACCAGAAGCTTTTACTTGTTTAATTTTTTTCTTCTCTTATATTGTACAATTTTTTGACATGTGCTGGACCCCCAATCTTAGGGTAAAAATGACAGAAAAACCCATCCAGCCACAGGTTGAATGTTTTCCATTAAATTTTCTAACTGTAGTTCGGGATCATGTGAAGCACCCATCATCCCTTTGAAGGGCCAGATTATAATTGGCATTGGCCCTGACAAAGTGAATTTCATACTTCTGGCTCTTTGAGTAACAGAGCTGTATCCAGTGCTTAGCAAAAGCTTGACTTTTCAGGGCATCCTGTGCTAATGGTAACACTTGTCCAGAGCTGGTACATCCCTTCTAGATTAGGGAACCCTAAAAATATCAGTGAGAACTGAAAATCAGAGTTTTCTTACAGACTTGGTTATCAGTTAGTGAAGAGCTTGACAAATTCTGAACGTAAGTTCTTTATGGCACCTAGCAATTTCAATGTGATGACTAGTTATCTTTAGTGCAATTTTACCCCAAGCTATGGACGTGTACTTTATTCTCCGTATGTATCTGTGTGTGCTCTTATTTTATTGCCACAGTAACTTGGAGAAGAAAATCTGCAGCCTGAACTATGCCACTCCATAGAGACAGTTACATGCATCAGTCTCGGGCTGTGGTTTTTTATTTTCTATTAAGTGCTCCAACTCAGAGTTGGATTCTTTTAATACAGTAGAGAAGGAGGAATGAGAGGCAGACAATAAGGACAGTAGTGAGAGCCACCAGGACTTCCTCCTTCTTTCCTTGGTATGTTTGGCTCAGGAAGTATCTTGGCCATATTCTTTGAACCTTCCTAAAGGATTCTTCAAGACCCTTGTGTTAGAGCAGATATGATTCTAATTTGGGTCTCAACCCAAGATTTGAAATCCATGTTCTACAGAAACAAGTTGTTCTCCAGTTTTACTTTTCATTCTTCGAAAGCTGAAAATTTCAACTATTGTCTAAATTTCTGGACTGGCTCCTGGATTAAAAGTTGTTGAAACAATGCTAGAGTTTGAATCAGAGGCTGGCTCCTTTCCTTCAGGTTACTTTAGCAATTTGAAAGACAGATCTATAGTTTCATTTGTGTGTTCGTGTTTTCCACTTATGCATAACCCAGCCCCTCCAGATGACTGAAAAATTCATCACCTAGTGGCCTCAATCTGGTAGTTAGAAGGCTACCAGTTTTTTTTTAATCTAGAAAATTCACTTATTATTTTTTATTAATTAATTTATTTTGATTTATCAACAATCACTTCCATAAGCTTTTGAGTTTTAAATTTTTCTCCCCCTCCTTCTGCCCATCCTTTCCCAAGACGGCACGCAATATGATATAAGCTATACATATACATTCCTATTAAACATATTTTCACATTAATATGTTGTAAGGAAGAATTTAGAACCAATAGAGGAACCACAAGAAAGAGAAAAAAATAGTAAAAAAATAGTAAAATAATAAAAAATAGTAAAAAAATAGTAAATAGTAAGCTTCGATCTGCATTCAAACTCCATACTTCTTTCTTTGGATGTGGATAGCATTTTCAGTCATGAGACTTTTGGAGATGTCTTAGATGAAGGCTGTCAGTTGACAGACTTTTTTGTTTCTTTTGCCAGGCCTGTCCTTGAAACCTTCCAGGATTATGAAAGAGATAACTTGGCTTGTACTGTGCTGATACAGCCTTCAAAAACTCGACTACACTTCCATTCCACAATTAGGTAGCAGAATAGGACATTACTAAACTCATCTGTACATTTGGGATAGTACTTACCATACTTACTTCACAGGGTTGTTGTGGTGAATGTGCTTTATAAACAGAATCACAGAATTTGAGAGTTAGAAAGGACCTCCGTGGCTATTTAGTCCAATGTATACCTGAAAGGAATCCCCACTATAATAGATCCAGCCAGTGGTGATCCAGCCTCTGTCTGAAATCTTCCAATAAAGGGAAAACCACCGCCTCGTGAAGCAATCTAGTTTGCTTTTGGGTTGCCCTGTTAGTAGTTGTTAGGTCAAGCTTACTTTTGCCTCTTTGCCATATCCATTGATTGTTTCTGGGTCTCATCTCTGGGACCAAACAAATCTAATCACTCATACATGAGAGATGGTCCTACGTTCAAATACTTCCAACATAGCCATCATGTTTCCCTTTAGCTTAGAGGCTAAACATTCCTTGTTCCTTCATTTGAACCTCCTGTAGCATTTACTCAAAGCCCTTCACTATACTGGTTGCCCTTTTCTGGATCTTTATAGAAGGTGAGAACCAGCTTTGGAGTCAGGGAGACCCAAGTTCCACTCTTGCCTCTGACACCTTCTGGTTATATGATACTGGGTGAATCATTTAAACTTTCACTGTTCTAGGTAACTCTAAGACTCTTAAGTCGGAGGAGAGTTGGTGATCTGCATTGGTGAAGGCAGTTTTCTCAACAGGAACTCCTCACACTAATGAAATCACGAGTATAGACGTCTCACCTCCCATCACAATAAATAAAAAATCAAGCATCATGAATTAATCAAGGCCTGACATATGCTCCAGATTCTAGCTAACATGTTTATTGGTATTTTCTTTCAGTCTTCTTTGAAAGATGAAGAAGAGAATGCTTTTGTAGCTCTCATACCTAAGGAAAAAAAGAGGAAGTCCTGTAAACCTAAGGTATAAATTATGAAGATATTCAAATCACCTTGTCATTTTCCAGACGTCTCCGGACATTTGTCCCAGCCATCAGTTCTAGTAGTCAGAACACCATTGACCAAAATGACATAATATCATTTAAAAAGTGATGAGAATATTTTATGGCCATTTCTTTTTTATGTTGAAGTCTTCTTCCTTTTTAGTAGTTAGTTCATACATATTGTATCTGCCAGCTCTATCAGAGGAATACAAGACAGCAAAAATTGGTGGATAGCTGGCCTCAGAGTCAGAAGACTTGAAGGCAGGGCTGTCTCTTAACTCATACTGGCTGTGTGTAACCCTAGACAGGTTACCTATCCCCTCTGTGTGCCAGGAAATCTCTGTAGGTTGCAGAACAGTCCATGGTCTGCATTATAGAGGAAGATCCTCCTCTCTAGAACTTGCTATGTTGATGAAATCACAAGTTCAGTTTTTAAAAAATCAGATACTTTTCATAATAGCATAGTATATTTTATATGTAAAGTTTTTCTGTTTTCTGAAATAACAAAAATAGAGATAATTAATGAACAAAGTCTATATGTCTGTATAGACCAGGTGTTCTCAACTTAGGGTGTATTAACTTGTTTGTAAAAATGTTTTAGTAACTTTCAAAATAATTGGTTTCCTTTGTAATCCTGCATATTTTATGTGTTTAAAAATGTTATTCTGAGAAGGAAGGAGGTTGGTAGGCTTTACCTGACTGCCAGAGGGGTCCATGATGCAAAAAAAAAAAAAAGGTTAAGAACCCTTGGTATAGACTTTGCTGTGCCTCTAGAATGTATTTCCTCTCATTTTAATCTTTCTCTTTGGTTCAGCTCAGAGGCTATCTCCTCCATAAAGCCTTACTTAAGCCTCCATCTAGAAATGATCCAGAATCACCAATTTCTCATCCTTTTGTGATTGACCTCTCTTATATACATCTCACATTCAAACTTTTGTTATAGGTTATTTATATCTCATTCCTTTACTAGAGTGAAAATTTCTTGAGACTGTAATCTTTATCTTTCATTTTTTATCTAAGGAAGCAAATTTCATTTTATTGGATACATCCATTTGAAAGAGATGATCTAACTATACAAATTGGAAAAATAGTATATGAAAATAAAGTTTAAACCAAAATCTTTTTTTTCGCCTTAGATTGCTGAGCACATAGCCAAGCAAAACAGATTCCCATGTTGACCAAGTCAAAAACATAGGTTTCATTCCTCACTTTTAGTCTATCACCTCTTTCTGTCAGGAGTTAGTTAGCATGTTTTATCATGAGTCCTGGATTTTGTTGTTACTCTATAAATTGTTCTCCTGGTTCTACTTATTTCACTCTGCATCAGTTCGTGCAAGGCTTCCCAGGTTTCTTTGAAACAATCCCTTTGGTCATTTCTTTAGTATGTTCATATACCTTAACTTGTTCAGTCATTCTCCCTTTGACATTTGCCCTCTTAGATTTCAGTTCTTTGCCACTTCAAAAAGAGCTTCTACAAATATTTTTGTATGAATGGGTCTTTTCCTTTCATCAGATATTATTGATGGCCTTCCTCTGTTCTTTTAATATCTCATAGTCTCCAATACAACATCCCTTCCTCTTACTAAACAATTGGCCCTCCATTTCCAGTCATCCATATCCTTGATGATAATTTCCTGTATGTAAGACATCAGTGACAATTTTATATTCTCCTTGGATATGTCGAGTCTTCACAAAATGCAGCTGAAATTCTGATTCTTTTGAAATGGTGATTATCCATAATTTGTAGACATGTGATATTATTGGGAGAATAACTGATGTTGAAAAGTTGAATTTTTGCAGCAAAGAGCTGCTTGCAATGGAAGTATTACAATTTCCCCAAGGCACGTGAGCTTGATCTCTTTCTGTTTTGTTCTGGTCCCATCACATTGTCTTTTAGTATCTATCTAAGGTATACCTCTATGTAGATATATCTTGTATTTCTCTTTCTCTCACCATGTATCTTGCATGTCTATCATATGTTATATCACATGTTTGTGTGTATATATGCGTATATGCTTATACATACATGTGTGTATACACATGCACATACATACATACACGTACATATGGAGGAGGGGAGGAAATAACTCAATAAGCAGCCTACCCAACCACATGTTATTGGCAAACAGTATTTTTTATATGCTATTTTTCCAATTTGTATAGTTAGATTATCTTTTGCAAATGGCTGTCCCCATTAAATTATGAGCTTCTTGAGGGCTGTTTTTGCTAGTTTTTGCTTTTAACATCCCCATTGTTTAGCACAGTACCCAGCATATAGTAGTAGGCACTTAGCAAATACTCGTTGACTTATTGACTTCGCACCTCACTAAGACGCCTCTGTGTTGTTCTGGAGCCTGATGTACAATGTCGTCTGCATATATCAGCATTTAGAGAGCTTTACCAGGAATTATTCTTCTATTTGAAATTTCAATAATACCCTACGTGATACTGATGAATATCTATAGGCAAGCATAAATCTCCTTGTTTGTTATATATCTCACTGAACAAGTAACCTCTATGGTCATATCTGTCACAGAATCTTGCATGATTTTAGTATGAGTGTGAAAGATACTTTGAGGGGAAACGTATGGCTGTTTAGTTCTACTAAATTAAATGCTATTTTAAAATCATAGAAAATAGCATAATCTTCTATTCTCTTTTTTATCACTTTAATTGTGGGAAAATAAAGCTGTGATTCGCTATAGAAAATCATCCTCCTAGTTCCCATGTTTTTTTAAAAAGATACTCTCAATGGGTACATAGATAATTTTAACATATTTTTATAGAGATGAGAAAGGTGTTGCTATATGTGGGTTTTTTTGGGGGGGTCAAAGTACTCTTCCATGCTTTGAGATGTTATTAAAAATGATTTCTGAATGTTTTCTTCATGTATTTATAAGGTCCAACTGCTTTTCTTAATTTCCTTTCCTTAAATTCCAGTGCCCCTTTTCTATACAGTACATTGATTACTGAGGGAGGAAAGTCCACATTTGTTGGTTCCACCATTACTGCTAATGTGAATAAATGACCCTAGTAACATTGGCAGATCTGGTCCATTTCACATTCATACTCTTCCTTTCAATTTCATTTTTAAAACATGCTCTCAAGATGACTGGACTCAACTGATTCTCTAGGTTCATTTTCTTCCACATTTGTTTTTTTGTAGGGCAGTACTCTTTGTGATCTTCCTTCTTCTCCTCAGTAGTATTTGGCACATGAACTCAAACTTTAAGTGTGAATTGCCCTTAGCTGCTCAGTTATTCTCTTAATAAGGAGCTCAGTTGTCTTTTGACTGGAGCAGTTTCTGGGTTCTTCTGACTTCTTTATAGTGACTGTTTTTCCTTTGTTAAACTTTTCACATAAATGGTGATGTCTTTTGTCCATTTCCCTTTTTTAGAGCTTATTTAGACAGGTTATATTAGAGTTATGATAATGACACATGCTGTCTTCTCCCTATCTTTTTTGTTGTTCAGTCATTTCAGTGATGTCCAATTCTCTGTGGCCTCATTTGGGGTTTTCTTAGCAAAAATACTGGGGTGATTTGCCATTTCCTTCTCCAGCTCATTTTACAGATGACAAAACTAAGGCAAACAGAAATAAGTGATTTGCCTAGGGTCACACAGCTAGTAAGTATCTGAGGCCAGATTTGAGCTTAGGAAGATGAGTCAGGCCTGGTGCTCTATCCACTGCACTACCTAGCTTCCCCCTTCCTATCTTTAGCCTTTCATTAATTTGGTGTTGTTTTTGATCTTTGTTCTAACCATTCCATTATCTGACTACTCAGATGATTCCATTTAACTTGTTTTTTAAAAAATGTATTGATGCTTTAAAAAAAATCACTCTCAGAGGTGATAGGTTAAAAAGCAGAATAAGGCATATTTTAGGACATGGCCAATGTGGGAATTTTTTTCTTGTCTATGCTTTTTTGTTACAAGGGTCCAGTGCAATCCAGTAAGCATTTATGAAGTGTCTTCTATGTGCCAGGCACTATGCTAAACACTGGGGATACAATTAATAAAAAGATAGACCAGGGTCTTGTTTGTCTTTTTTTCCCTAACATTTTGTAATTAAAAATACAAAAACTAATTGAAAAAATAAGCATCACTTTCACTTCCTAGTGGCTTTCTTCTCCCTCCAAACACAACTCTCCTTTATAACAAACACATATTGTTAAAACAAATCAACACATTGGACGTGTTTGAAAATGTGTACTTCATTCCACAACTATAGTATACCATCTCTCTGCCAAGTGGTGGGAGGTGTGCTTTACCATTAATCCTTTGAAGTCACTATTGATCACTGAGTTGATTAGAATTCTTATATCTCCATTGCAGTAGAGCAGTTATATCTCTGGTATAGAGATTGGATAACTTGGGAGCTTTATAAAACCTTAACTGTAGGCAATGACCTATAAATCAATTGTTAATGCATTCAGTTGTGATGGGGCAGAAGTTAAGTAGATTTCTGGCTTTAGGATACAATTCTACTCCTAGAACCCATTAGGAATTTGGAACATATCCTTTGGGGGAAGACAGAAGGCTCTTTTCCTGTGTGGATTTTAAAAATATATGTTTCCTAGTACAATAGAGTATTTTAACAGGTAAGAGAATGTGATGTATGTTTCTTTATGCTCAAAAGAAAATCTTCCTCAGTTGTTGCCTTTATAACATATTAGGGGTCTTATTTTCCTTTTAAATTTGTGGTTTAGAATTTCCATATTAAATTTTAGTAAATCTTTATTCATTGTTTTGTAAACTTGTTATTTAGAAATAAATCCTTTATGTTTCCCTTTAAATATCGTAGGTAAAATGTCAGGATTTAGAACTGGAAGGGCATTGGAGATCATCTACCTAACTCCTTATTTTATAAATAAGGAAACTGAGGACCATTGAGGGAGGTGACTTCCCCAAGGTCACAGCATAGTGAGTAGCTGAGAATTCAGATAGGTCCTCTCATTCTAAATCTAGTGTCTTTCTCCTGCATCTTGCTGCCTCTCTTTGTTAGTTTCTTACAGAATGGAAAAAAGTAATTATCTGATGTGTAATACTAGGACCTCCATGAGGGCAGCAGAGAAAGGCTCAGAGTCAGCAAACAGTCCCTAGGGATAGAAGTGATACAGGAGCCTTCATGGTATTTCCATTTAACCTTTGCTCCCAAAGCATCAGTCTGTTCCTTCTGCTAGCAGCCAGGCCACTCTCTCTCTCTCTCCCTGTGCCACAACTTGGTTCTTATTTTGCCTATAAGTGTTCAGAGCTCTTTGCAAAACAAAACACACAGTATTAGTTGGCCCTGTTGTTCATTATTTAGTTATTCCTCATAACTTTTGGGAATTTGTCTATTACACATCTTGAAGATTTGCTGTATGTATTCTAGAGGAAACCAGAACAAGTAATGCCTCTTATGTTTAGTTTTTTTAATTTATATTTTAGTTATTCTCTATTTATACTTTAGGATAAACTAGCAAATATTTCCTGGGTTTTAAGATTTGAGTAACTTGGCAATTGCTATTCTAGTAAGAGATAAGAATCAAGGCCTTGGTGATTATTCACCCTACATGACGTTTTATACAAAATCAGGCTATGTATTTTCTAAGTAGGTATTATAAATGGATTCTTCTTCCTTATGCATTTAAATTTTTTTTCATTTTTAATGTGTTTCTAGCCAGTTGAGTTTCAAGGGCACCGAGTGGCAGGATCAGCTTGTAGTGAGGTAATGGTCAGAGGACCCTACTCCCGGCTGGAGTGGAATCACTATCCAGATAGTATGGAGTATGAGAGCTTCCCAGAAGGGCCTTCCTTTTTAACACCAAAGTTGCCTAGTAGTTATGTGATGACTGACTTCTTACAGGTAAAAAGGTTTCTTATGCTTGTATCTCAGCATATCATTTTTCCTTATTTAACACCAAAATACATCCTATGAAGAAAGTAATGCTAGCAAAAGTAATTGTAGAGTTGAATCAAAGAACATTGACAGAAAACTTTAGATAATTAGGATTAAAAAAATCATTCATCACTTTTTAGGAATAAGTATTCAAAGAATTGTTACTTTCTGCATAAAAGGATAGTAATTAATGAAAAAAGGTAATTGGTCCACTAAAGAAAATGCTCACACCATTTTAAGTAGGAATGCAAATTCATAAAGGTACGCAGAGTAATGTGTCTCACCATGGAAAGTCTATATGCATGGTAATAGATGTTTTATTTTATTTTATTTTTGGTAATAGATGTTTTAGTAGAAAAAGTCTGATCCAGAACTGTAAATAACTTCAGAATTTAGTCTCTTGAAATGAACCTCAAATTGAAATACAGCCAGCTCTTGATTTCAAACATCTCCTTGCTGTTTTAGAGCTTCTTCCATTTACTATACAATTAGACAATTAAGAGTCAAACCTTGATTGGTAAGGGTGATGGTCTGTATGTTTAAGTGTATGTATGTATGTATGTGTCAGTGACTTTTTTTCTGAGTATGTTTCAAATGTGCCTCACATATACCATTTGAATCCAGATTATTATAATTGTACCTAACATTTATATTACATGTTATGCTTTTCAAAGATTTTCTCTATTATGTCATTTATCCTCTTTAAATCCTTCATGGTAAGTAGGACAGGTGTTATCCCCATTTAATGGACAGAGACACTGACATGCAGAGAACTGAAAGAGATTGCTGCATGTCAGCAATACTGCCACAAATAGAATTGAGTTTTCCTGACTTTGAATTTAGTTCTCTTTCCATTTACACTGTGTTTCCTTAGTTGAATCTATTACTGTTTTTTCCTGTTAATCTTTAATAGGAGTTAGTGATTTCTCTGAAATTTTCAGGAGAAATAATTTGTTGTTGTGAATGCTGGGTCTCTCTATCTCCTACTTTCATGAAAACATGTTAAAAATTTATTGAGTCTGCTTCTTCTGGCCATCTTATTTTTAAAAATTTATTTTATTCTTTCACTTAAAATTTTGTTTTTTATCTCTCCCACCTATACCTCCATTTATCATTTGCACTGTGATAAACAATGGACACTGGACAAAAGTAAACAAAAGAGGAGGTTCTCCCCCCTTGAAAAATAAAAATCCTCATTAACAAATACACAGTTAAAATAAATTCCCACGTTTGCCCATTTCCAAAAATTTATATTCCAGATATATGCCCAAAGAAATATATTTTGTTCTTTGAGTCCATCACCTGCTTGTCAGGAGGTGGGTGGAATGCTTTCTAATTGCTTCTCTAAAATCTTGCTCGAGAACTGTGTTCATCAGAGTTCATGAATCTTTCAAAATTGTGTGTCTTTACCATCCTGTTGCTAGCTCATAAATTGTTCTTCTGGTTCTGTTTTACTCTGCATCAGTTCATACAAGTCTTCCCAGATCTCCTTGGAACCCTGCCTTCAGTCATTTTTGTAGTATTCTGTTAACATTCATACATCTTAATGTTGTCAGCCATTACCAAGTTGATGCTCTCCACCTTCCTTAGTTTTCAGTTCTTTGTGGCTACAAAAAGCTGCTTTATATATTTGGGTATATACACCCAGATCATTAAATTTTTGGTTCTAGATTGTTTTCCAGAATGGTTGGACCAATTCAGAATTCTACAAATAGTGTTAACACGCCTGTGTTCCCATAGCCACTCCAACGTTTGTCATTTTTCCTTTCTGGTCACCTTTGCCAATCTGAGTAATGTGAAGTAGAACCTTAGACTTGCTTGATTTGCTTGGTTTTTTACATATCAAAGTGATTTGAAGTAGTTTTTCCTTTGAAAACTTTGAATTTCTTCCTGAGAAACTTACTGCTCACATCCTTTGATCTTTTATCATTTGACAATGGCTTTTACTCTTATGAATTTGAATCAGTTCTTAGACTCTTGGAAATGATACCCTCTGCTTTCAGAAAACATTTCCACAAAGTTTTTTTTTCCTACCAGTTACCTCTTTCTGCTATTTTATTTGCACTAGTTTTGTTTATGCAAAACCTTTTTAATTTCACGTAATGGGACTTGTCCATTTAATCTTTTGTGACTTTATCACCTTGTTTTGCCTATAACTTTTCCCCCGAGTCATAAATCTGAAAGATTATTCTTTCTCTCTGTCTCCCTCCTTTAATTTATTTATAATGTCACCCTAGTCTAAGTCATGTATTCATTTGGAGCTTATCTTGGTTGAGATGGATGAAAGTATAAATATGTAAGACCCCTATATTTCTCAAGTTTGCCTAACAAGTAGTATATGGAAGGTCTTACCTATGATGCCAGATATTTATCTGTGAAGTTATTATTGAGCAAATAGAGGAAACCCTTCTAAGTCGGTTTTAAAGATGAAAACAAAAAGCAAGGTGCAAATAACACTTATGGGATTCTTTACAATTACCTGGTATGTCCCTGGGGTATTCTTGGTTTATGCTCTTATGTTAGCAATCAAAGGCCTTATATAGAGGTATGTGTAGTTCTCTTCCCCCCGCCCCAACATGGTATGATGATAAATGTTTAAATCAAGCCCTAATTTGTAGCATTTGCTGACTTCCAAGATATAAATGTTCACAGTAAAAATTGAACAATGGTCCCCATGATCCAGTTCAAGCTAGTTCCCGCACACCCCTCTAATTCTCCCCTTGGGATACTACATTTGGAATTCTAACTCAGGTTCTCTAAGAGAAAGGGAGTATATTTCTGATACACAAAGATTCTAACACATGGATAATAGCCTTACTTATTAACATAACCATGTATGTATTCTATAGCTAGAAGTGATAATTCATTTATGTTCTTCAGTGAGAAAGAATAGCATTTACAGTTACAAAATCCTAAGAGGCAAAACTGTATCCTTTATATACATAAGAAGGAGTATGTATTTGCACAGACTAGATATTAAGCAAAGAATTGTAGTGGTTAAAGATTTGCTGGGCTCCCGGTAATTCACTGCCTTATGAGGTACATATGTGTGTCATTTTATAGCACATTGTGAGATTACAAATCCAGACCCTCTTACCGCCTGGGTCAGAGTGTGGGGGGACAGGACTCAAACTTTGCCAAGGATCAAAGTAATGTAGCATGATGGATAGGGTGCTGGACTCGTAGTCAGGAGATGTCATTTCTAGATCAGCTCTGATACTTATTAGCTATGTGACCATGAGAAGGCACTGAGACTCACTTTCCTCACCTCTGAAATGGGGCTAACAATACTTGTGTTCATAGAGTTCTGAGTTTCAAATGAGATACGTAAATGCTTTGCAAACCTTAAACCACTATATAAATGACAACTATTATAATTTCTTTATTAGCAAAGTTGAGTGATTTTCATGAGAATATGGCGGATTATTTACACAAAATATTTTCTTTGCTTTTATGTGAATAATGCTTTTAACTGTCTCAGATTAGAAATGATCACAGTAACATATTTGTGATTTGAAAATGTTCTTTTCATAGCAAAAATGTTTCTTCTGTATAGTTAGTCTTAATGAGGTAAATGGATGTATGTATTTAAGCCCTCAGATGGAGAAAATTTTTTGGAAGAAGATCTGACCTTCAGGGGAGAGGATGATTTTCAAATGACAACTGACTTTATTAAGGACACAAATGAAAATGATAGTTGTAAGTAAGATTTAACTTTGTAAATTACCAAGTAATCCTGGGGATAGTTACTAAGTATAGTTGTCTTTTTTCCCCCACAGCAGTTTTGGATTTCTCTTTTACAGATTCTGACAATACTGTGTCATCTTATTCTTTGGACGATAATTTGAAGTTATCAGAATGGTCCTCATGGAAAAGAAACAAGGTATAAACAGACCTTTCCTACCTTGGGGAGCTTTTTTTTTTTTACATATTATTGTTAGGGGGCAGCTAGGTGGCGCAGTGGATAGAGCACTGGCCCTGAAGTTAGGAGGACCTGTTCAAATCCAGCCTCAGACCAACCACTTGACACTTACTAGCTGTGTGACCCTGGGCAAGTCACTTAACCCCAATTGCCTAAAAAAAAAAAATTAAAAACATATTATGTGGATGATACCATGTCATCTAAGATTGTATTCTTGCTCTCATTAATTCCATTGTAGACAAAGGACAAAGCTGAGGCTAAACTTTGCCCTCAACTTTTAGTACTAAATTATAAAAAGGAGTGGCTATATTGGATAATCGCTTGAATTAATTTAAAACTGTAATGCAGTGGACATCCTTTTCAATAGAGAATGCCCAACTAAGCATGACTCTACTGGCCATGTAATATTTCTCATTTGCTCCACTTTCCAGTTTCCAAATTCCAAGTTACTGAGGTACATGATAAGGCCTTGCCATTTCTTTTCCATGAATTTATTATGAATTGAAATATAATATCACAGATGGTCTCAAACATTCAGTTTTAGGCAACTAGAAAGCAAATCTAATGATAAGTTAAATTTTCCCAACAGAGCTCTCCAGTTTGGATATTTCCCATTGAAAAGACAACTTTTTTTTTTTAGATTTTGCCCATAAGGTTTAGTCATTATCAGTTCTACCCACCCTTCAGGCTTTTACTTGAACTGAAAGATTATCATATCAAAATGATAAAAGGTATTAAAAACTGAAATTCTGAGAACCTATTTCTACCCTCTTTACTGCCTCTTAACTAATTTTTACTCTGGTGGTTATAGGATTCTATCCCATTGTTTTATTTTTCAAAAAAATGTGCCTCCTTTTCAACACCTCAGTTTTTACCCCTCTGCTTATATAGGGATGCTTAAAAGACCCATTTTTTACTTTTGCAAGTTTAAAATCTTCATTTGTAAGTTTTGGCAGCCAGTTCATTTGTTTTTTTAGCTCTTGTGTAAACTCCTTCAACATTTTGTCTTACCAATGTAATAAGAATCCATAGCTATCTTTTTATAAATTTTCTTTCCATATACAAGCACCTAGTGGCAAGAGAGGATATACAGGTTACAAAAGGGCTATGTCATGCTGAGAAAAAAGGATCTGTTTTTCTGTCATTTTTTGATGTTATATGACAACAAGAACAGCGGCTTGATGTTCTTCATTGTAAGTTCAAGGTTCTGAATTCCCTAATTCTAAGTGAATTTCAACCACCCTCTCCTTGAGGTGTGGGGAAGCATGCGGAGGCACAATGCCTCTTCTTTTGGCAGCTTAATTTGGCTATCCCAATTCTAAATGAGTAAAATTAAGATAATAATTAATATATCTTTCTCCAATTGTTTTCCATATCCTCTAATCAGAGTATCACATATATATATACTACAGAAGAGCTATTTTAAGGCAATTAATTTAATTACATCCTAAGGCGGACAAAATAGAATAAGAGGCAGAGAATGGACTTGTAATTTCACTGAGAATATTAGACTCCTGGGTGAGGAAATTCTCCCTACTAAAGTAGGTTGGCACTTCCTCTGCAACATTTACTCTAGAAATACAATAGAAAATTGTTATTCTTTTACTCTTTTTAGTAGCATCTACTAATTAATGGCCATTTGATTCACTATATTCTTCTTTAACACAGTAACTTGAGATGGAGTCCAGTTAAATCTGTTGGGTTCAAATCTGGCTTGGTCTGGAAAGTTCATTTTAATGGGCTGTAACCACTAAGTCTGGACTAGCCTTGGGTAGGGTAATCCTTACCTTAGGTCTGAGGCCATCAAGAGGTTCAGGTGCTAGATCTTAAGGGCCGCTTCGTTTTGTCTATTATAAAGTGACCCAAACCCTGTTCCCAGAACCCATCCTGTCTCACTCAGGGCCCTTAGTCCACAAGATGATCTAGTAACACTTCCAATAAGACTAAGTTTTTAAACACCAAGTATTTATAGAGTTCTAGATCGTAGGTCCACAGATCTAGAAATGTAAGGGACCTTCATCTAGTTCATCTAGGGCAGAGGAGCAACAAGCCAAGAAGGCTGAAATGACTTGCCCGGTTTCACACAGCAAATTAGGGTCAGTCCCCTCGTTCTCAGTCCTGTGCCTATTTCATCATCAAGCAGCAACATTTGGTGCTCAACATGAGGGGCGCAGTGGAGTAAGAAACAGTCCGTACCTTGGAAACGCTTGTGTTCTAGTTGTGGAGATCAGACACGGACAGTTAGGGAAGATGCAGTACTAGAATGGGGGACGCTGTTGTAGGAGTTCAGGAAGCGTTGTTAGCTGTGTGCTGTGGGAACGTTTCTGAGAGGGTGCGTGGTGTGGTGGAAATCCTTGGAGTTAGAAGCTGGGGGTCTGGGCTTGAATCTCCTTGGCTGCTTATTACCTTTTGTCACCTTGTCCCACTTAACTTCCTTGTCTTCAAAATGAGGTTGGACTACATGATCTCAAATGGCCTTTCTAGTTCTAAATCCTGTGCTCTTATACATTTTCAAGGCCACCCCCAAAACAGACTCAAATCAGACAACCCTGAAGTCATTTGGGGAATTTAGCATCTGTTTACATTCTACCTTTCATTTTATGTGATTTAATGAAGCAAGGAATTTTATCCCTATCCTATTTGGAAGGACTTTCCAGCTTCCTTTTTCCCTAAGTAATATGCATTATTAGAATTAAATATTTATCTGTGTGCACATTTAGATTGTAAAAAATAGTGACAGATTGAAAAAGAGGCAATCCAAACACTTTAGTGCGCTGATTCATTTCTTTTGGCACATCGTGTAATTTTTTTTCTGCTTAGATGATGTCACCAGTGCAAAAGATCTCAACACTGAGCCCTGATTCAACCTTTCCTTTGAGCCCAAGAGATGAAGACATTATGATAAAGTTACCTGAGGAGTCTCTGAAAGCAAGAACCTCATCTGGTAAACTTTACTATTGCAATATTAAATATGTCTGTTGATAATATGTAATATTTGTAAAATTGTAATATTTGCCAATCTGTGCAAAATTAAGTTGATGCTGGGTGACTGTTACTGAACTAAAAACAATATGTTTGAGACTAAACTCCAAATAAATTGTTGCCAAGGATTCTGTTTTCATCCCCTTGCCCTCTCTGACCCTTGATTCCTATAGTCACAAACTTCTAATGTTTTTCACCCTAAGTCACTTATCATTACCATCATTATTATTACTGTATTTCCTCTCTTACTTTGTCAGAGCCACTGCCATTTTTATCACTTTCCCTGCTGGAATTCAGGTGCCTAAGCTCCCTAAGTGTTCCTTCAACTCCCAGGAAGCCTTACATTACAATAGCCCATCACTACAACTTCTCAGTTTCACTCTTCTTTCTCAGGACTCCTAGAAAGCCTCAACTTCTGCCATTACCCATGATATTCATGTTTGGGGCTTTCTTATGGGAGCCCTCCATTTTTGCTTCCTCCATTTATAGAACCTTGTAGGTAATAGGTATTGATGGCCTGTTTCTGGTCCTGCAAGGAGGCTTCCATCTTGTTTGCTGACACTGGCATTTCTGGTGGGCCTCCTTCCTTGTGGCCAGTGGGCTCTTGGATTTTTGTGTAGTTTTAGGGTCTGTGGAGTAATCTCATTGGATTTGTTGATTGATCGTTATTCAGTCTGGTGTTATTTTTAGTGTTTTTGCTGGAGTAGGTATGTGGGTGTAGGTATGTGGCAGCTAGCTGCCCACCTCTGTTCAGGCAAAGACCTCTTAAACAGAAGTCCTACACATGATTATTGATAGCTTGCTTTTCTCCTTTTGAGAAATGCCTGTTCATATCTTTTGACCAGATAGATGTTAGGGAATGTCTTATTTTATATATTTGAATCAGTTCATTATTTATTTTAGATATCAGACCTTTATCAGAGAAATTTACTGTAAAGATTTTTTTTTCCAAGTTAAACCATTTCCTTTCCAATTTTAGCTTCTTGGTTTTTGCTTATACAAAGCTAACCAATTTTGATTATTATTGCTTGGTGGTATAGTTTAAAATATGATATAGCTATGTCTCCTTATTTTTTTTTATTATTTTTTTTTTGAGAGTCTTGATTTTTTTGGTTCCTTCAGATGAATTTTGATGTTACTTTTATAGCTCTATAAAATCCTTTGGTAGTTTGGTATAATAATGAATAAGTAAATTTAAGTAAAAATAAGTAAAATTAAGTAAAATGCCATTTTTATTATATTTTATTACATTTTCATTACTTTTATTACATTATGTCATTTATTACGTGGCTCAACCTTGAGCAATTGATACTTCTCCATTTATTTTAAGTCTGCCTAAATAATCTATTTGTATCCCCAGCATTTAGCACAGTAGTTGGGGTGTTAGTACTTAAAAAAGTACTTAATACTTTTTCATTAATTCATTTTTATTCATATAATTCCTATGTGTATCTTAGGAGGTGGACTCCCAAATATTTTATACATTCTATAGTTATATTGAATGGAATTTTCCTTTCTATCTCTTCTTACTTGGTTTTATTGTTAATACACAGAAAGCCAATGATTTATGTAGATTTATTTTATATCCTGCTACTTTGCTGAAGCTTTTGTTATTTCAGTTAATATTTAGTTGGTTTGCTTAAAGTTTTCCAAATAGACTCTCATGTCATCTGCAAAACCAATTATTTTGTTTCTTCCTTACCTGTGCTTATTCCCTCAATTTCTTTTGATTATCTATTGCCATAGCTTGTATTTCTAGATCTATATCAAATAATAGTGGTGATAATGAACACCCTTATTTTATCCCTGATTTTATTTAAGGTTTTTGCCATTATATATAATGATGGCTCTTGGTTTTAGATAGATACTGTTTACCACTTTAAGGAGGGGCCCATTTATTCCTGTGCTTTAAAATTTTTAAAAAATATATAAATGTATTATATGTTGTAAAAAAAAATCCAACCTTTTCTATATCAGTTGCTATAATCATGATATTATAGGTTTTTTATTAACATGATCTGTTATGTTTATAGTTTTTCTATTCTTAAACAAAGCATTTTAACCTCTTTATATCTGGAAACTTTAAAATTATATTTATGTGTCAAGGTCTATGAAGGTAATGCTTAAAAATTTTGCTTTTGTGCATTTATGTTTATTATGTACTAGAGCATGATCAATTTTTAAGTGTTTTATAAATTGTTAAATAAATTCACTAATATTTCCATTAAGTTTTCTCTATACGTATGTCAATTCTTTTTTCCATATGCTTTTGAGTTGAAAATTTTTCTCCCTTTTCCTCCCCCCCACCCTCCCCAAGACGGCACACAATCTGACATAGGCTTTACATTTACATACCCATTAAACATATTTTCACATTAGTGAAGTTGTAAGTAAAAATTAAAACCAATAGGAGGAACCATCAGAAAGATGAAACAAAACTCAACAGAAGGTAAAAATAAGTGATAGCGATTCGACTTCCATAGTTCTTTCTTTGGATGTGGACAGCATTTTCCATCCTGAGGCCTCTGGAGATGTCTTAGATCCTCGTAATGCTGAGAAGGATTCAGTTTAACATTCTTAGTCATTGCATAACGTGGCTGTTTCATATACCACAACTTGCTCAGCCATTCCCCAGTTGATGGGCATCCTCTCAATTTCCAGTTCTTTGCCACCACAAAAAGAGCTGCTATGAATATTTTTGTACGTGTGGGTCCTTTTCCCATTTGTTTGATCTCTTTGGGATATAGCCCTAGAAGTGCTATTGCTGGATCAAAGGGTATACACATTTTTGTAGCCCTTTGGGTACGTATGTCAATTCTGATTCTTCCAACAGTCTATAGAAATTTTAGCTGTTCTTCTGTATATCATTTTTAGTGACTTGTTATGTTTCAGTAGTGGAATATTGAAGTCTCATACTATTATTTTTCTATCTAGTTTTTTTTTGCGATTAACTTCTGGAAAATTCAAAATTTTTATTTTTATATCATTGAGTATCTTTTTATTATTGATATATTTTTCTTGACAGTGGTATTGATGATTATAATAGAAATCCCAAACTGGCACTTAAATCTCTTCATCATAGGGCTCTAAAACAGCCTTTGTAGAGTTCTTTCATATCTCTCCACTTAATGTACTTTATTTTCTAACCAAAGTGATGCACTTGATATTTTCTAACCTTGACATTCCATCTATAGTAATCAAGTAGTCTAAAACTTCATTTCAGAGAATGTCAGTGAAGTTTTACAGTTTTTATTTAATAACATAAGACCACTTAATTATTTTTATTTTAATATGGGATATTAAATTATATAATGTCTTATAGGTCAAGTGGCAGTTTTTTCTTTTTATTCTACACACAGTGATTTTTATGGGATTGATATGGGATTGGTAATGAATTTGTATGGGATTGGTAATGAATTTTTATTTCTATCACCTTTCAGGAGTAGAAAAGTTCAATTGGTCAGAAAAAGTCAATGTCCAAAGACGTCACAGAGCTCGGATACCACTTATTACACTGCCACCTGTTAAAGTGCACCCTCTCTCAGAAAACTGCTCACATAGGATGGACTCTGAGGTCCAAAAGTCCTTTGGTAGCCCCATCCTTGACCCCTCATATGAGGAGTCAGCAGGTTCTCCTGTCAGCTCCTTTGGCCCTGAAGACAGGAATAGGGAAACCTCTGTTTCTCAGAAGTCTGGGGAAGAGACGCCTATAAGGCTTTCATTCTCATCTCTGGTGCCTCCTCTAAGCAAACGAAGCAGGTGGCTGAAATACCAAAACACACCCCAAGGTGACTCAATTACTCTACATAGAAGTGATGTAAAAGTGAATGAAAACTTCTGTGCTGCCTTTGCCCCTGGAGTGCACCTTGATGGGGCAGAGGGTTATCAGAATGGGGCTGCCAAGAAAAGCCCTAAAGACTCTGTGTATTTGGAGATGATAAAAGGCAAGCTTCATGAACAGCAAGCAGATTTCTACTGCCAGGAATCAGTTTTCAGAAAGAAAACACCATTTCAGAATTTTGAGCAAACTTCCCAGACTGAGGAAATACAAAAGATGTTAAGTCAGATGGCCCACAATGGCCTCAGTGTAACAGGAAGTACCCAGGTGAGAAGCTGTAATAAGTTAGTTGTCATTCTAAAACTTCTTCTATTAGAAAACATTACCTGAATTTTAGAGAAAAAAACTAGCACAATAAATTGCAAATAATTATTTCACTGTTGGTATGAATACTTTTTGTTCCAAAATATTAGCTATACTTATGCTGTTCTCTTTGGCCTATTTCAATAATAATATATAGTCATTAACTCATTTGTATTACTACTAAAGAGTTTTCTTAAGTAGAATTATTCTTGTGAAAATGTCACTCGTTGCCATAGGGTTTTTCTAGATATCAGAAATCAAATGATATATTTTGACTATATTGTACCAAGAAAATTATTCACCTGTATCACACATTTTGATGCTGTTGTTTACCCAGAAATAAAACATTTCAAAGTCTTGAGAGGGAAGGGAGAGTAAAATCAAACTTATTTAAGCTTATGGCATAATAACCATCCCTGGCATGTTGTTTTTTATTTGGAATTAGAATATACTTATCTGGAATTCAGAAATGAAGTCTTGCATTAGTAAATAAAAGGATTGTGTGTTTTATTAGACATATCAGTAGAAAACATCTTGCTAATTAATCATTTTTATGATTCGTTAATTTGTTCTTTTTCAGATTAATGCCAGTGCATTGTCATTTCCCAGTGGGCAAATATCAAAATGTGCCTGCATTCCCAAAAGACAGATTCACATACCTGCTATTTTTCAGTCACCTGCTCAGTATAAACAGGTCTTCACAACCTCTCTGATTGGTATGAAATGTCTTTTAATGAAAAAAAAATCGTTATAGTTAGATTTGTTCTACTGTTATTGCTTTTGTACTTTTGTTCTATAATCTAGGAAAAAATATATGAGACTAGAATAAAATGGTGGGAGCAAGATCTGTAGACTGAGAATACTGCACTGTTGAGTCAGTGCACCCAAAGCGACCGATAAAGTTGAGCCTTAAAATGACCTGGAGACTGGTCCGCACAGTGTAAAGGAATTTGCTTGGCATTTCAAAGCTAAAATTCTGATAGAATGCTGCTTAGAGACAGTGCTCTGTTCAGTGAAGCGCTGATTGACAGAAAAAACTAAAACGAGAGAACAATGTGAAACTCAAGTTTCACCCCGAGTGTAACCTTCTGTGACTGTCAAAACTTGCCCTTAGCTCAGATGTCATGTCCAACACTCACTGAGAGAAAGTGTGGTTAGAGAGCCAGCCTTGAAGCCAGGAAGACCTGGGTTCAGGTTCCACCTCTCACACATACTCCTGCCTGTCTGACTCTGCTCAAATTACATGCACTTTCCTAGCCTCAGTTTCCTCATCTGTAAAAAAAATTAGGATAACAATAGCACTTACTCCACAGCTCTCTAAGAGTATATGATATGCAGAGAAGGTGCTAAGTTACACTGAGGCAGCGGTGAGAGTGGGGCACATCCGCATCCAAGAATTCCCAGGTATAGTCTCCGTTCCTCCTTAAGAGGTATTGAGCATCAAACCATGATGATCAGAAATAGTCCTAGCCAAGCAGAAGGATATTTAAGCTACTGTTTTAAATTAGAGTTGGAATGTGGAAAAGATTATCTGTCATGCTTTGGTTTCTTGGGACCAAACTACCAATGTGAAATGAACAGTGCACGCCAGTAGTTCATTTCATCAGTAAAGAGTTCTTCTCAATGCATTTGAAGGAAATGGGCAATTCTTTAGGTAAAAGGACAAGTGAACTCCTGAAAATCCATCAAATTGTCTCCCTCCTATCCTTCAGATCCTTTTCCTTGAATCTTTTCACACTTAACTAGAAGTTGAACTTAGAGTTCTGCTTCACTATTGTAGCCAGCAGCCCATTTGCTCATATGAAATTTATTTGATCAAAAATAAGATCGTCTTTTTGAAAATTTCACAAGGGTACGTACTAGACACTTTTATTTTTGCTAGGTTCCTTGAAGTGTGTAATATAATTCCGAGCCTACTGTAAACATCATTTAATGCTGATGACATGTTAATATTGATGGTAGTAATAATACTGGTTTGGATGCGTAAGAGAAGAAACAAGGTGCGCATAGACTATATTTGTCCAAGGAGGTCCTTGAGGCATTTATTAAATCATGTGATTATGCTTCTGATTATCATCTGATAAATTATTACCTGATAAATTATTACCTGATAAAAACCTGATTATTCCAGATACTGGGCATAGACACAGAGCCAAAAGATGAAACAGCCACTGCTCTCATTCACTGATTCATGAATAATGATGATCCTTTAATAATGTTTGATTTCAGAATTTATCATGAGGACAAATTGTATTATATTTTTTGATAAATTTAATAATAGTTATAACTCATATTCATGTACCTCATGATTTTAGGTTTACAAAGTAATTTTTTTGCAACAATCTTGTGAGGCAGGAACTTCAAGTATTTTTCCCATTTTGTAGAATTATAAAATGATTTGTCCAAGGTCAAAACTTGTAGGTGGTGGAGTAAGACCTAGAACCTAAGTCCTCTGATCCCAGTTCCAGTATTATTTCTAGTATCTTTGCCTCTCAAGAAATTTCATTCCTAATGGTAAGACAAAGAAAGCATCTGTACACATATTTGGAGGTAAATTTAAATTTTCATCTCTTTTTTAATCTTCTTTTCAAATCTAGAACACTTGAACATATTGCTGTTTGAGGTGTCTAAAAGGCTGCACCAAGCTCTTTCGAAAGTTGACATATCTTTTTATACATCAATGAAAGCAGAGAAAAAGAAAAACACAGGAAACAGCATACCAACCTGTCATCACCAACAGCCTACAAAGCTGGTCATGGTTAAAAAGGATGGCCCAAATAAGGTATCCTAACAATGTTTTAGCTAGACTGTTAGATGGTATATTTTTGGAAAAAGTGAAGCTGTTTGGTAGGATTTGAACCAACAACCACCTATTCATTCAGTGCTAAATTCACTTTGCCAAGGGACTTTATCTTTCTTGGTGCTAATTTATCCCGGAAGAGGGTTTTGTTTGTGGGCTAGTAAGTAATTTTTGTACTAACATTCATATAAATAAAGTTAGTTTAAAGGGAGGAACTGTTTCATTTTTGTCGTTTTATCTTTGGCACCTAGCACAGTGCCTGCCATGTCAAAAGCATTTAATTAATATTCGGTCAAAAAACTGGAAGTTTCCCATAACTTGGAAAATGGCTATGCAAATTATGGTCTGTGAATGTAATGGAATATTATTGTGCCATAAGAAACAATGAAAGAGGCAGTTTCAGAGCAGTCTGGGAAAACTTGTATGAACTGATGCAGAGAGGAGGGAGCAAAATCCATCTAGAGATCAGCATATACAATAACAACATTATCTCAAAGACAACTTTGAAAGACTTAAGAGCTCAGATTACTGCAATGACCAACATGATTCGAGGAGACTGATAATGAAGCATGCATGCTGCCTACCTCTTACCAGAAGGTGTTGGTCTCAAACTGCAAAGTAATACATATGTTTTCAGATACAGCTAATGTGGGAATTATTTTTTCTTGATTATAAATGTTTGTTACAGAGGTTTTGTTTTTCTTATTTCTCATTTTGGGAAGTTGAGGAGAAAGAGGGACCAGGGATGAGGTTACACTTCCTCCCTCCCCAAAAGAAAAAAAAATAAAAGGTCATTGAAACGTGTTTTTGAAATGCGCAGAAGATAAAAGAAGGAAACCACAGACAAGCAGGATAGCTTTGAGAGTAACATTGAGTTTTTTGTATATTTTAAAAGGAAAGAAGCCTATACATAATAGACACTTAGTTTTATGCATAACCCTCATTTTAGTTGTTTGTTCTCATATTAGTTGATGTTTGTTAAATGTATGATATAAGAGAGAATAATAATTTTTAAAAAGTTAAAAATGCTTGTTGAAAATTACCACTTGAATAAAGACTGGGCCATGGTATACTATATTAATATACTGTTTTAAAAGTAGCTTTTATTGATATTTTTTATATAGCCTATGTTTCGCTCTGTATCCCTCCTCCTTCCTCCTATCAGAGTTATCCAACTAGAACAGAATTTTTTTTAATTAAAAAAACTCAGGAAAATTGATCAATATATTGAAAATCTATATATCCAGTGTTTCAGATGTGGGCTTCTGCACAGGAACAGAAGGTGTCTTCTCATATATCTTCTCTTAAGGCTAAGTTTGCTCTTTATAATTTCACAACATTAATTTATATATTTTTTGTGTTTATTTCCATTTGCATTCTTGTAGTAATTGTATGTATTTGTTTTCCTGTCTGCTTATTATATTTTCTATCAGTTCATGTATGTTTTCGTGTGATTCTTTGTGTTCATCATGTTTGTCATTTCCTGCACAGGAATATTCCACTGTATTCGTGTGCCACCATTTATTTAGTCTTTCCCCCAATTGCTAGGCATCTATTTCATTCCTAGTTCTTTTATTAATGTACTACTAATGTTTTTGTTTGAGTGCAATACTCAGTATTGATAATTAGCTATTAAAGTTCTTGATTTGAATTTAATTAATGGCAGTTTCCAAGGAAAAATTATTTCATTCTTCTGTCGTGTTTGCAATAATACACCATAGTAGAAAAGCACCATTTTTAATCTTTATTTTAATTAAATTTTAACTGCTTTTTTTTTCTTCCTAGGGTCGTCTCTTTTATACTTGTGATGCACCAAAAGCCAACCAATGTAAATTTTTCAAGTGGCTTGAAGAAGTAACCCCAGTTAATTTGGCACAGGCAGAATCTGTACCCAGCACAGTTTTACATGATATAAAGAGTACTGGAATATATTTAAGATGTCAAAATATACCCCTCTATGAGGAGTGTCAGCTTCTGGTGAGGTGCGTTAGATATCTTAAAGATTCTGACAAGTGAATAGACCTGTGACCCTAACAGATTGGTCTGAATCCAATTTTCACTTTAATTGAGCCAGACCTGCAGCAGATCAAAAGTTCTTTTGGCCTCTACCAGCAGACCATAACAATATGAGAGCCAGTGGGAGGGAGACTGTTTCCTTGTCACTGTCTGTGAGCAAGTGCTTTCTTTATAATACAAAGGGAGATCATAGTTCAGGTGATCACCTGAGTGCGATTCTTCATTGTCTAGTAGGTGAGAAAATGCAAGGCTTTAATTTTGTAGTTTGTGCTTCTTGACTAGATATACATATTTTCTATTTATACATATGATTGTACCATCATGTGTAATATTAGCATACTTGTACAAAAAATTTACATAAAAATCAATTGGGGAAGAGAAACTTTACAAAATAATTCACAGTAGGATTCCTTTAAATAGCTTGTTCTTCTGTTACATTTGAAATACAATGAAATTTACATGCAACATTTTAGAAATACATTTTTTTCATCAAATGAGATGAATTTATAATGTAGTAGTATTAATACTTAGGGTTTGCATAGAACATTGTGCCTTTATACTTTTCATATCACTTCACATCCATTATTGTAGCAGTCTGTGAGCTAGCTTGGACATGTCTATTTCCCCGATTTTACAGATAAAGAAATTGAGATTCAGAGAATTTAAGTTTTGACTAAGATTCTACATCAATTAATGGCAGCACTGAGACTAGAACCAAGGCATCTTCGCTCCTATTCCAATACTTTTACTGCTCTGTGACTCTCTCGATGCTGTGTTAAGACTTTCTGATTTACTCATACTCTACTATTTCAAACCCAGCTTTGTCACCTTGATTGCTTAGACCGTAGGCATATCTTTCTTTCATTTTGCAGGAAAGGATTTGATTTTCAGAATAAACAGTATGGCAAATCAAAGAGATTTGCTCATGTAAATCCCGAATTTCACAATGAATCTAAAAGCAAACTTTATCTTAAACTGAGTAGGAGAGAAAGTTCTTCTTCCTATGGCAAAGGTAAGTTGTTCTAATCATCTCTGGGGAAATTCTCCCATTTTATATGGTGTCTCATTAACATATACGTATCACATGTATAACTAGATGGATAGATATCACATACATAACTTTGATAGTATAGATTATCTCTGTTAAATGCTTGTAATTGGATTTGATAAAGCAGAAGGTCCCACTAAAATTGAACTAAGACACCCTGTGCCTGAAGATCTCCTGAATCCAAGTTCTTTACCTGGGTCCCAGACATTGAGGACAGGGCCCCCTTTGTATTGTCTTTGTCCCCCTACTACCTACCATAATACCTTGCACTTGGTGTGTACTTAATACATGTTTGTTGAGGCTTCCCAAAGATAATCATAAAACCATCCAACTCTCCTATTTCCCTGGGGTAGTTCTAGAAAAAGATCCCCCTGGGCATGGGGTAGTGATGGAGACCTCACAGACAGTAGCCATCCTGCCTCCCAGCACCAGATCCTACTTACCAGCAACCTGGAGCAGCACCAAGAGAGTCTACCCTGTGCCCACCTCGGGGCTTAGTCTCGGAAGGGTCTCTGACTCTCTCCCCTGATTTTCTCTTTCCAGATCTGTTAACAGTAAGAAAAACTTGAGAAATTCAACTTTAATGAACACTGAGAACAGGCCTCTTGCCTTTAGTGGGGGAAGATTCCATTAAAGCCCTGCTTATATTTTTGCAGATGATCTCTGGGTAATTTCAAAAACCCTAGACTTTGAGCTGGATACTTTCATTGCTTGTAGTGCCTTTTTTGGACCATCATCATACAATGAGGTGGAGCTCTTGCCTCTGAAAGGCTATTTCCCTTCAAATTGGCCATCTGACAGTAAGTAATGCTGTACGATATTTAGTCTACAGTTTTTTCAATTTTATTTTTGCTAGTTTCCTTTGTTTTAAAAGATGGAAATACAGTGCAAGCACAGCACCTGTGTAGGAGAAAGTTTTTTCTTGTTCCAGTTGAATCCCCATGGTACCTAAGGGCCCACATTTGGCCTGTTACTGTTTACTCAAAGGATATATTTTTTAATGGAATGAAGTAGAGTCATAAAGATTAAGTTTTAGTTTTACATAATATTTATTATAGAGATTTTTGTGAATAGTTTCCTTTATAATAAATGTTCATTTTTGTGATCTTTCTCTAGCTGTGGTTCATGCTTTACTGATTTGTAATGCTAGTACAGAACTGACAACATTGAGAAACTTGCAAGAGTACTTCAATCCAACCACTCTACCTATATTACAGCACCTGTTAACAACGTATGTAATTAATCATCATTGATTCAGTAATATTCACAAAAGATATGTAGAATAATGTGAAAGAACCATCAACATAGTCCATAAATATTGCAAATGAAATTCAAAGTGTCATTCAAAGAATATAATTATACTGTTTAAAAAAGGCCATCATAAATCAATTTACTTTTCTATTGGACCATTAAACATAATAGTGATATTATCTGTCTAAATCAAGCATTAGTTTCCAAATATCATTCATATTAATTTCATTTATTGTGTATCCATGCCTCACTACTTTCCTTTTATACTTACCGTGAATTATTTACTTTTAAATTGAGTATCATGGATGTATTTATAATATGAATCATATGTCTTAGCTCATAATTGCTTTATTATTAACAGATTTTATATCTCATTATGATTTTCCCAAGTACCGGGTCTTATTTTTTTTTTATTTGGAGAATAATATTTGGACAAATATATTAAAAGAATATGAAAATAAATATTTTCTACTTCAAACTTTTCTCACAGGTCTTTTCTAAGAAGTATTACACAATATGTATGCTTTAAAATATCCAAAGATGTGATAATTATTTTAAATTCAATTCAGCAAACATTCATAAGCACCTACTATGCAAAAGGCATATAATGGAAAGAAAGTGAAGGCTTTGAACAGGACACAAGAACTATATATAAACATATAAACTGCAGTCATAAAAAATAATGTTGCTGTTAAATAATTCTCAGTCCCCAATAAGATCATAGAGAACAATATATCTGCAGTCCTTCTACATTGTTTCATCAGATTTTATGTGAATTTTTAATACCAATACTCTTGTTATGCATTGGGAATTCAAATATTCTTACCTAATAAAAAATTAACAAATTATTAAATCTATCTAATAAGGTGTAGTGTCGGTACATGATCTAGAAGAGGTCCATTTTGATTACCACAGTGAAGTCAAAGAAAGTTCTTATGTAACTCATTCACTTTGGAATGTAACTTGAGCTAAAGAGGCTGAAACTTATTTTTACTTAAACTTGAGAATACTGATGGATTTTAGTGTCTTAGAAAAAGCAAAGCTTTATATAGTCATTTTAAAGGTAGTGTATATATGTGTGGGTGTATATGTATGTGTATATATGTATATGTGTGTGTGCGTGTGTGTGTGTGTGTATCCCAATATATGTATTATAGAGTTTACCTAATTCCTTGTCAGTAATTTCTCTAAGTTACTAACATAAACTCCTAATTCACCTAATTTTATTTGCTGGGTTTTTCCTAGGTCTTACCAAACTGAACACAGCAATAACAGAATCAGTAAAAGAAAGTTTATTCCACCAGCCCTCAACAGGAGTACTAACAAGAACTGTGAACCACTCAGCCCAGAAGGAGCACTGCAACTAGCTAATGAGATGATTCAGATATATAAATTAAACATGGATCAGGCCACAGCTCTTATTCAGATAGCACAGATGATGGCATCACAAGAAAATGTCAGTGACCTACCAGAGCAGCATACCATTCCTATCACAATCATACATGGTAAGGAGTGAGAAGAAACAATCAGTTGTTCTGTTCTGCTGCTGTGCATGGACAGACATTCCTGTTTCTTCCATGGATTGTGTTAGGACATAGTTTCTCTTTTCCTTATCCTCATTTACGTCTGCTGGCTGCCTTCCTGTTAACCAATGTCTCTCCCAGAACTTGTCACTCAGAACTGTATGTAGTACTCCAAATGTGACCTGTACAAAGAATGGTGGTGGGTCTTTTGTTTTGGACACTGAACTTCTGTCAGTGCAATCTAAGGTTGCATTGGTGTTTTGGTTGCCATTTCACTCTACTGATGTAGGTTGATCTTTCAGGTAGCAAAAGCCATTAAGTCTTTTTCACATGAGCTGCTATTAAGCTAAAGCTCACCTGTGCTACATTGTACAGTTGCATTTTGGAACCTAAGTGCAGAATTTCATCTTTATTCTTGTGAGGTTTTACCATGTTATATCTGGTCTGTACTTATTAAGCTCTATTTTAAACTTTGATTTTATCATACAACATACTAGTGATTTCACTAAGTTTTGTGTCTTCAGAAAATACGTGCTATCTACACCTTCATTCAGGTTATTGGTAAAATTGTTGAATAATATATGGCCAAGAGCTGAACTGTAGAGGGCTAGAGATCCTCCTCCAGTTGATACTGGCATATTAGTCAATGCTGTTGAGGTTAAATCTGTCAACTAATTTTAAATCTGCCATTCAATAATATAGTTCAACTGTGATCCATTCCCAAGGATGTTTTCTTTTGGTCATTTATAACTTATAAAACTACTTTTGAAGATTATTATCTATATTTCTGACCATGTATCTGTTGGGGAATGGCTTTTGCTTTATATATTTGTGTTAATTCTCTGAATGTTTTGGATATCAGGCTTCATTGGTGATATTTGATGCAATTATTTTTCTCTACCATTTTCTCTTTTTTTCCCTAAAATGTAGGTATGACTACATCACTCCCCTTCTTAATAAATTCTAGTGGCTCCCTATTGCTTCTGGGACCAAACAGAAACACCTTTGTCTGGCATTTAAAATCCTCCATTGTGACTCCATCCTGCCTCTCTTGTCCTATTTATTACACATCACACTCTTTCTCTTACTCTACAGTCCAGCCAAATAGACTTCTTGCTTTTCCCCATACATGACCTTCCAGTATGCATCATCATGCCTTTGTACCAGCTGTATGTCTGGGAGTCATTTTCTCCTCACCTCTCTGTCTGTTAGATTCCCTTTCCTCAGGACTCATTGCAATACTGCACGAAGCCCTTCTGGAGCCCCTGGCTACTAGTATACATTCCCTCCACCCTCCAATCTTGTATTTATTGCCAATCTGTTTTACATGTATTTATACATGGATGTGTTATCTCCCCCAATAAAACACAAGGTACTTGAGTTTAAGAAATATTTTTTGCCCACGTACCCCCAGTGTCAGGTACGTAGTAGGCATTTAGTAAAGATTTTTTGATTGATTAATGAATTCTGATTCTGTCTTCATTGGCTTAATTCATTCAAAAGTTTTAATTTTACGTAGTCAAAACTGTCTGTTTTAGCTTTTGTGATTTCCTTTCTGTCTTGTTTAGTTAAGAATTCTCCCTCTAACTGAAGTCGTGAAAAGCTTTTGATCTTATTCTCTTCAATTTTTTTTTTATGGTATGCCCATTTTCTTTCCTTCTTGTGATTATGTCTGAAGAGTGTCCCATCATCCCTCTTGAGTAAATTTCCCTATTGGAGTCTTTGGCCATAGGAAGACTGTGCAGGGCAAGTGAGTTGTCAGAAGACAGAAGAAAACATCAATTTATTCATGAAAAAATGTCTGATGTATAGCTTTTAATTTTCAATGTCTATTTTAGTGTTTCTCTTTTCATATTTCTCTCTCATCACTATATTTCACAACCCATTTTTTAACCTGTTGAAAATTTATTGCTATACTGCTTCCCTCTCCTCTCTTCTCCCTCACCTTAGAAAAGGGGGAAGGGAAGGAAAGAAGCATTTACGTAGCCCCTCCTATGTGCTAAGTGCTTTACAGTTATCTCATTTTAGCTTCACAATAACCCTGTGGGGTAGAAGCTATTATTATCCCCATTTTACAGTTGATGAAACTGAGGCAAACAAAGGTTAAGTGGCTTGCCCATGATCACAGAGCTAGTAAGTGTCTGAAGGTAGATTTGATCAGAGATCTTCCTGATTCTAGGTCTAGTGTACCACTTAGCTGCCTTAAATAATAATCAAAAGATTTGGTTTATTAATTGCCTTGTGTGGCCTCACCACTTGAAAATAAGGAGAGTAACCCAAGGTCTAATGTCACTATCTAAAATTAGCAAAGTCTATCTTGCACCGCTGCAAAGGAAGGTTAAGGCTAACAACTTTTCATGTTACCATAACCAAGACATTTTAGTAATACATATTATGCTTCTTTCTAGTTTCAAGGACTGTAACTGCAGGTTGTATAGGGAGCTTTTTCCACACTAAGCTAATCTCTATAGGATTTACCCTGAACCAAAGTGAATAAACTGTTGTGAGGCAGAGCTGAATGCTGTGAAAATGAAGGTGGGGAAGGCATCTAATCAAAGTAGCAATATTCTCTATAGAAGATAACTTGGACCAAATTCCTTTTCATGTTTCTGGAATTCATTTATTTAAAATACTGCCTCTTTATCTCTCCCTGTCTCTTTACTTTCCAAAACGACTAGGTGTTTTTGGAGCAGGGAAGAGTTACTTACTGGCAGTGGTGATCTTATTCCTTGTGCAACTCTTTGAAAAGAGTCCCGCTCCTACAGGTGTAGAGGCAAGGCCATGGAAAATTCTGATTTCTTCTTCCACCAATGTTGCTGTGGACAGAGTGCTTCTTGGGTAGGTATAAACTTTTTATTTTAGTGGTTAGCTGTATAGATAATAGATTAATCATTTGCCTGTCTCCATGAACAGATGATAGTGAAATATCTAGAGTATGTCATTGTTCTATTATAATTTTAAATTAGAAGGATCCAGAAAAGGATAAGAAAGATTAAAGATGTATTTTGCACATGGGTCATATTTCTGAGTAGGTAGGATCCTATTAAAAATGAAAAGAACAATACAGTATTTCACAACTGCCAAATGTGTTGGATTAAAATGTTTTGTAGCAGATAGGCCACTGTACTTATCATCTTATCTGGGTTCATATCTTGCCTCAGATACTTAATAGCTGTATGAAGATGGGCAAGCCACTTTCTCAGCATTGGCTTTCTCCTTTGAAAAATGGCAACAGTAATACCACACTTGTCACAGTGGGTTGTAATAAAGATTAATCACTTTGTTAATCACAAATCAGTGTTTGAATGTCATTGTGCATTATTTAACCAGCTGTATTTCAGTAACAAAATTGAAAGTTTGACTAGAACTAATTATAGTGTGGCCAGAAAGATTAGTTTATTTGTTGTAAACTAATGTTAGAATATTGTGACATGTGTATTTTGACATTATACATTTTTAAATTAATTTTTAAAAGCCAGTATCATCCTTAAAGTATTTTGTGTTTATAACTTCTTACATCTGATTTTACTAATGGTGCTGTTGAGGTTTAGGGGTTTAGGGATGCTGAGACCCCAAAATCACAACACGCTGGTCTTGCCTGTAAGAATTCGACTCAAGCCTTCTTTCAGCCAAAGACAAGGTTTATTAGAACACCTGTCATATTGGCCATACTCTTAAGGAATCTGAACATTACTGAGCTATTGACTAGATTATAAGAATCTGAGCACCTTAATGGAGACGAGACTGTGGGAGACATCTAGGAGTGACGGGGACCATGAGGTAATAGAATGCCAGGGACCTGGAGTACATGGCCAAGGGAGAATGGAGTCTAGCTAGGATTAAGGGTGGGAAGGTAGACAGTGGAGGGCTAGGCTAGGTTAAGGTAACAGAGAATTGGGAGATTGGGCATAGCCACAATGAGATGCCAGTTGATGGGATTATAGCCTCAGGGGACCACCAGAAATTTGGCCATGTGGGAAAGTCCTTTCCTTTTTGGGGTCCAGATCTCATACTCATCAGTACTTTTAATTACAGGTAACTTAAATGTAATGTTGATTTAGATTACATAGAGTAATTTCTTGGGAGGTGTTTATTTTAATTTTGGGGGGAGATATTTATTTTATAGTCCAGTTCCAAAATGAACAGAATCTTATTCTTATACAGGCTACTCAGTCTTGGATTTGAAAAATTTATCAGAGTTGGGAGCATTAGAAAGATTTCCAAGCCAATTCTACCTTACAGGTAAGAATCATCATTTCCTGGATTTACAATATTGATCAATGAACCTTACACAATTTCCAGATATGTATTGCTTTACTTTTATGCTTTTTAGAAGATGAAGGAAAAAAATCGTGCTTCAATGGAACTGTGATCTCTCATTGATGAGAATATTCCTTCTGAGGGTGCAGATTGCAGTCCAGCCATTTATCATGTTAGGCAACTCTTGTCTGTGACCTCCTTAAATCATATAGAGAAGATTCACCCAATATAACTGGTACCCTACCTCTTGGTCTCTTAAACCTGATACCTGCCATGGTATCAGTGCAGTAGGTGGATCAACCATGTGTTACTTCTTACTTTTGCTACATGACCTCCATTTCCAGTCATCTGTCAATTTGATAATATTTTTATACTTTTTCATATACATAGTTCACTGTTCTAAATACATTATAACCTATCTTTGCTCACAATGAATATCTCATAAGAATGTGATAAAAATGAATACATTTGAGTGGCTTGAAATTTGGATTCCTCAAAAGTTGTGGTATTACATAACTCATAGCATTGTACTATCAACAAAAGAACATTGGTTTTAAAAAGTTTGTATTTTGTTTCAGAAAGAAACTTGAGGTCACTGAAAGACCTATACAGTTTCCCAAATGTAAATCTAGTCCGCAGTCATATTCCTATTTAATTTTGGACCCAGTTCATTGTCCACCTGCAGTGTCTGCCCTCGGCTGTCCATTCGACACATTCCAGACAATAGACGTTCTGACACTCCATAGGAAAACCATATCTATTTAATATGTAAAGGTTGAAGAACTCTACATTTTGCATTTGGTAAATTTCACAAAATCTCAGAGTTGAATGAGACCTCAGAAATCATCTGTACAAGTTGTACTTGAATAAGAATCCTCTCTGATTTTTTATAAGCCCTTTAGTGATCAGAAAACTATTGCTTCATATTCTGGGAAAGCTCTAATTGTTAGGAAGTCTTCCCTTACATCAAGACTACATCTGTCTCTATGCAACTTACATTCATTGATCCTAATTCTGTCCTCTGGGCCAAAGCTTAAGCCCTCTTCTGCGTGATAATCCTTCACATTCTTTAAGTTGCTGTTCTTTTCCCAAACTGCTTTTTCATTAAAGGGCCTTATCCCCCCACCCCTGGATTATATTCAGTATTTTTGGCTGTTATTTTTGTCTGTAAGTTTATATTCTTTGTCTTCTGGAATATAATATTCCAAGCTCTCCACTCCTGAATGGTCGTGGCTGCTATTTTTAGTGTGATCCTGACTGTGGCTCCTTGGCACTCAAATAATTTCTTTCTGATTGCTTGCGTTATTTTTTCCTTTGACCTGAAAGCCCTGGATTTTGGCTGTAATGTTCGTGCGAGTTTTCTCCACAATCTGTTTTATAGGTCATTTGTTTTTGTGATGTGATTCCTTACATTTTCTTCTATGTTTTTTCAGGCTTTTTGCTTTATTTTAATATTTCTTGTTGTCTCATGGAATCATTGGCTTCTCTTTGGTCCATTCTAATTTTCTGAGCTTGTTGTTCAGGCCAGGTTTGGTACCTCTTTTGCCAAGTGGTTAATTCCCTTTCCAGTTTTTTCTTCCATAGCTCTTACTTCCTTTCCATTTCCCCCCCAGCCTTCTCATTTCTTTTATAAAAAACATTTTTCAAGTCTGTTTCACCTCTTCTAGAAATCGCAGCAGAATTTTTGTCCAAGCTGTGTTTTCTTTTGAAGCTTTACTCATAGCCATTTTAGTAATTTTCTTCTTTGGAGTTTATGTCCTAACTGTCCCTGTCACCATAATAGCTTTTTAATGGTGAGATTCTTTTTTGTTTGCTCATTCTTCTGGCCTACATCTTGACTTTAGACTTGATATTAGGGGCCAGGCTCTGTGCCCTTCTGGAGGGAAGATCTTGGCTGGGTCTGTGCTGCTTTAAAAGAAGTGTTGAGCGCTGTGTTGTTCGTGAGCTCAGGGATAGGTTGGGGACCTGCAAGCTTTCAGTGCTCACAGCATGGTCTGATGCAGGGCAAAGTCTGATTGTTTTTCCTCTGGTTTGAGGTGTGCAAGTTCCTGATCTGGGTTTGTGTCTAAGCAAGAGTACACACTGCTGGACTTAGCCACTGTTTGCCAGCTGGGAAGCTCTGATGGTTCTTTGGAAGCTTCCTGGCATGATTATTTTCTTTTAAGTTTCGGTCTGGACTTGAAGTGGGAACTGGAAACTCACTCTCTTCCTGGGCCTTGAGCCACACAGCTGCTGTCTGCTTCTGAATTTGTTCCTCTTGGGCCTATGACCACTCCTTACTCCAGAATGCCATCCCAGGGAGCGTTCTAGTCCATCTTGCCTCTATTACCTGGAACTAGACAGTGGGTGACAATAATGATGTTGATTTGGGGCCAAACTCATTGTCTATCTGTAATGCTTGTCCAACATGTATGAACTGATGGACATCCAACTGCATGTTATTACATGGATAACATGTATTCTTTGTGTACTTCTTTTTTTCCTCTTTGGATTGCTAGATTAATCTCCTTTTAAGTACCTGTGGATCTCATTGAGGAGGTCCTGTAGCACTTTGAGGCTTATGTAATTAATGTAACATTATTCATGAACAAGAACATCTGTCTGGCAGACCTTACCATCAATATTGAATACGTCTTCTATTTGGACTTTGTCTAGGTCAGCTTCCTGGGCTGTCCGGGACAGTGATAAACATCTCTAGCAAGCATGTTTTCCCTTTTTTTATGCCTTACTTGGAGATATTTTTTATGCCTTACTTGGAGATGTTGAAAAAAGTTCTCTATATTCTCTGCTTTTATCGGGGAATCTTATAGGTCTTAGCATGTATGTGAAGACAGATGTCAAAGTTGAGCTAAAGTTCAAGGCCTAATTTTATCTACATTAAAAATGCCTTTTTAAAAAGTAATCAGCAAATACACACAACTGGATTTTTTATTCTACTTCTCAGTTACTTATGTGACAGTGAAGATGTGAACTGTACAGGGGAATCAGCTGGAAAGCTTTTCATTCATTTCCATCAAGATTACTCTTGACACATGTGTGGACATTTCTTATAAATATTTTATATAATTCTCATCACTATTTTTATAGATAAAATAGGCATAGGAGTCAGGAGTTACGAATGTCTTCACTGTTGGCTTTTTTGAGTAATAAAACAATTTGGTATTTCCTAATCTTTTGAAATTTTTCCCCTCTTTAAGATATGTTGAAAATTAGTCCTTGAGTACCATTAAAATTATAGCAGTTCTAGCCTGGATTTCTTCTGTGTATATTTGGTCAAGTTCAACCACTCTTCTCAATGTCATTTTTTTTTTTTAGTGCTAAATCTACTTCATAAAGTACATCAAGTTGAGTCCAATTGTGAAGGTTTCACTGTCACTGAGGATGAAAACAGTTCATAAGATCCTAGTTTTGGGGGCAGCTAGATGGCGCAGTGGATAGAACACCAGCCCTGAAGTCAGGAGGACCTGAGTTCAAATCCAGCCTCAGACCAAACACTTGACACTTACTAGCTGTGTGACCCTGGGCAAGTCACTTAACCGCAATTGCCAAAAAAAAAAATTAAAAAAAAAAAGATCCCAGATTTAGAGCCAGAAGGGAATTAGAGGTCATCGAGTCCAGAGCTTCTTAAACTGTGGGTTGCTGCCCCATATGGGGTTGCGAAAAATTTAGTGACAGTAAAAGGTTTCTAAACGTGCAATGGCCAAAAATTAATTAAAAACCAAACACGTGATGAATCCGAGGTGTTTCTGACAGCACTTGCCCATGTCACTGCAGCCTTGGTCCTGAACACAAAGCCTGTGCACTTTGCTCTCAGGCCATGCGACACCAAGGAAAGCTGCCAAAACATAAAAAGGGGTCTCAAGTGGAGAAAGTTTAAGAAGCCCTGACTAGCCCAACCCCCTCATTATACAAATAAGGAAATTCAGGCCCAGCAATTTGAAGTGATGTGTTTAAAGTCATACTTAAAGTAAGTAGTCAGGATTTGAACCATGGTCTTCTGACTCCAAATATTGTGCTCTTTCCCCATCACTATGCTAACTTGATAGGTTACTAGTTATAAAGCCAGAAAATCTGTTCCACTTTATGTTGTCCTTCCCATTTCATTTGTAAATGCTCTTGGATGACCTGGCTTAATTAGTCTTGTACTACTGTTTTGACAGACTCTCTTTTCCTGCTTTTCAGTTTTAGAGGCAAAGCTTTTGGAAATTGGGTTATTCTTTTTTCCAGAATGTTTTGGAAATGAATGTATATTCTAATCTTATGTTGCCCTTAGCTTCTATCTTTCTCTGCTTATCAAGAATTTAAAAAAATTGTTTTTGAATTCTTATATCAGTGTTTTCATCTCTGCTGCTGATTAAAAGTGTAGAAATCCATATGCCATTCTCAGACACCATCTTCTTAACCACTTATTCATGTCCCAGATACACTTTTATCTCTTCTAAGCTTCTACCCTTTCAATCAGCAGCAGTGGTGAAAACACTGCCTGTTCTTCTAGGGGCTTCAGTTTCTTGCCAAATACTTTATAATTTCTATCTAGGTTCCTTCTGGTGGCATCATTCAATCCTATTAAAATCACCGGAAGTGGGCAGTGGTTATCAGGTTTCACAAGTCTTGGAAGTTCTCTGTCACATCCTAGATATATTCCTGGAAAGGCAACTGATCTCCTTATCATTGATAAAGAAACTTAGTAAAAGCTATAGAAATTCAGCTTATCTCTGTTGTGTTCATTTTTTCCCTTAAGTTTGCATGCTGGCTTAGGAAATGAAAGTGAGCAGTTAAAGGAGCTGCATGCACTGATGAAAGAAGACCTGACACCTGTAGAAAAAATATATGTGAGAAAAAGTATCGAACAACATAAATTGGGCACCAATAGAGCTCTGCTAAAACAGGTACCAGTCAAGCAAGACACATATATGAAGTAATTACTATATGTTAGACATTGGGGCTGCAGAAACAAAATGTGTAGAGACATATCTCTAAACACTTTATTAAATTGCTTTAATATAGTATTTTAAAATTTCTGTTGATAAAAATTTCCTTTTAGTTTTCCTTAAACTAGTCTATTATAATGCATATTAAGAAATATTTTTGTATTCATTGAATAACATTTATTATTCATTTTACAAACTAGAGAGGTAAGAAAAATAGATCTATTTCACTGATTAAATGAGATGGAAAAAAGTTCTCCACTTAAAAACTTAAGCTAAGCATTTAAAGTGCCACATTTATCTCTGATGAGTAGATATCTATTCTTCAGTACATGAATATGTTATCCTTCATCTCCTTAAAAGAGTCTTTTGAATATATAGTTTTCCTTAATCTATGCAGCACTTGTACAGCCACACACGACATAAAGCACCCCATTGCGCACCCGCTGTTTTCTGTATAGCCCTGGTTCTTGTCTGTTCTTGCTGAGCATCTCTGGTTTCTGTACTCTCCTCCCCCACCCCCAGTATCAGCTTATGACAGCTGACTCCTCCCCATCCCTCCTCCCCCTTGTTAGATGTGTGGTGCAGATGGACTTGACAAGATTGGCAATTGATTGGATATTAAGTGTAAGAGAAATGGGGAGTTGAGCTGGACGTAGAGACTGTGAAACTGGGTGACTAGCAGGATGGTGGTGCCCTCCACAAAAGTAGGATGCTAGGAGGAGGATCAAGTTTGGTTGGGGACACGCTACATTTGATGTGGCCATAGGACATGCAGCCAGTTGGTGATGTGGGACTGGAGCTCGGGAGAGAAAGGAAGGCTAGATATATGGATCTGAGTTTTGTCTTTATGAAGATGGTACCTGGAACAATGGGAGCCAGGAGACCAAGAGACAGAAGAGAAAAAGATGAGAATGTCACCCAGGGCTGATCTCCGAGGTACCTTTGTGTAGGGAATGGGACGTGGGCAATGATCTAGCAAAGGGGACTGAGAAGTCATAAAATTTGGGAGAAAGCAGTGTCGCACAAACTCCGGGACAAGAGTGGTTCTGACAAATTCTGAGCCCTTTCTTTATAACTTAGATCCACTACCCAAGGAGTCTGGCTTATTTCAGGCATTTTTCTGCTTTTCTAACAGAGCAAGTTTGACCATGGCTTGTATGATCCAAGAGCCCCAAGCTGTTAGTTGTGACCATTCCTGGGTATGGTTAAGCCAGGAGAGGTTAGCTATTGGTGTCCCAAGCGTCTTAGTTTGAAAAGAGGTAATATCCACCCTTCTGCTATCAGTCCCCTGCCCTTCCAGGGTAAGAAGAGGGGAGCAGAGACCAACTCTTCTTATTTCATATCTTATAGAGGCACAAGGACAGCCTTGAACAAGTCTGAAACAATAATACAATTAGATGAATTCATATCTGACAGCTGTGGAATGGGGATGGAAAGAAGGAGGAAGGGGCAGCTAGGTGGCACAGTAGATAGAGCTCCAGCCTTGGAGTCAAGAGGACCTGAGTTCAAATTCTAACTCAGACACTTGACACTTACTAGCTATGTGACGCTGGGCAAGTCACTTAACCTCAATTGCCTCACCAAAAAAAAAGAAAAGAAAGAAGGAAGAAAAAAGAATTTGTGCTCCTAGATCTGAAAACATCTCAGCTCTTGGTGTTTCCTGTCAGAGAAATTGTGAGGTCTGGCTCCATGGGGTGCCCGAGGCGTCATGGATCCAGAGTCTTTAGAGAAATGTTTCTCTTCCCATCTGACCCTAGAAACACGTCATTTTGCTTTGCAAATGTAATATTGACTAAATGTGAACTTATAAGGTGTGACCTTGGGCCTCCGTTTCCACGACTGTAGATTTAGGAGTTAGACAAGATAGTATCTAAGGGCATTTTCAGTTTTTATTCCTATTTTTCCTGTGACCTTACTATTTTAAAGGAAGTCTTTCTAGATTCAGGGATATTGTGCATAATTTATTACTGCTTAAGATACTTATAGAAAGGTTATATAATATTAAATAAATTAGAATGTTTTGATTTTTTCTTAACTATAGATTTGCTTTTATCAATAAATGTTAGGTGGTGTATTCTTGCCATACTGTGTTTCTAAAGATCAAAGTTGTTGAATGATATGTTCTCATTACACATGCTGCTAGCTCTGCTACTAAGACATGTGATCAAGCTTCAGTCAGGCATGAATGCTAAGGTCATATTCATAACTGAAAAAAAAAAAACATTTAGGAAAGCTCAGAGTGAGCTGAGGCTGACGAGGACAACTAAGGACGACAAAAAGATTCTTAAAAATATGTTGAGAGAAAAGGAGGATCAAAGAAGGGATGGGAGTTTTGTGTAGGTGAACAGGACCATGAGAACTAAAAACAGGGATCAGAGTAGATCATTTTGTGTTTCGCCTTGGTTTTCTCTGCTAAGAAAAGTAAACTTTGCACTGAAAATGATAAAAAAAAAAAAAGACTGGCAAGAAGTTGGTGCCTAAGAGACGGTAAGAGAGCACCTCATTTTCCTTGATGAATTCTAGTCACCTGGTGCAGATGTATATTCTCAGGTACTGAGAGAACTGGCAGATGTGATGGTTGAGCCACTGCTAGTAATACTTGAAAGATCATGGAAAATGGGAAAGGTGCCACAGAATTGGGGAAGGGTAAAATGTCCTGATTTTCTTTCTTTTTGGGGGGGGGGTAGGCAGTGGGGTTAAGTGACTTGCCCAAGGTCACACAGCTAGTAAGTGTTATGTGTCTGAGGCCGGGTTTGAACTCAGGTCCTCCTGACTCTAGGGCTGGTACTCTATCCACTGTACTACCTAGCTACCCCAAAAGTCCTGATTTTCAACAAAAGGAAGAGAATAGGATCTACAAACCTTAGACCAGTGACCTTGACTTCAGTCTTTGGGAAAATTCAGGACAGATTATTAAAGAGAAGGTTGATGAACATTTAGGAAGGAATTAGAAAGAGCCATCACAGTTTCATTAAGAGCAAGGCAAGCCATGGGGCAGCTAGGTGGCACAGTGGATAGAGCACCAGCCCTGAAGTCAGAAGGACCTGAGTTCAAATCCAGCCTCAGACCAAACACTTGACACTTACTAGCTGTGTGACACTGGGCAAGTCACTTAACCCCAATTGCGTAACAAAAAAAAAAGAAAGAAAAAAGAACAGGGCGGGCCAGATTAAACTTATTTCATTTTTAACAGGATTCCTACACTGGTCCGTGAGAGGAATCCTGTAGATACACTTTACCTAGATTTTAACAAAACATTTGATAAAGTATCTAATATTCCTGTGGAGAAGATGCAGGTCTAGGCAGTAGTAGAATTAGATGGATTCATACCTGGTTGGATGGCCAAACTCAAAGAATAACTAATAGTTCCATGTCAACATGGTGGGGAGTCCCAGTGGAGTATCCCAGGGATTCTTGTTTGATCCTGTGCTGTTTGACATTTTTACCAGTGATTTGGATGAAAGCATAGGCGTTACACTCAGCTTTGCAGATGGCACAAAGCTGGGAAGGCTAGCTAGCAGTGGATAGCAATCAGACTCCAAAAAGGTTTTGGCTGAAAGAGCAGAAGTGTCCAACTCGAGGACCTCAGTCTGCAAAAGTCTCTAGCACTCTAAACCAGATTAAAATGTAATTGGGAAATATTTAACAAGATAAATAAAAATAGATGATGATAATGTATTATCTTCTAAGTTCATATGTAGCCATCAGGAATCCTGTTCTATTTGAGTTTGATGCCAATGGACTAGAGCATAGTGTTGAATCAAATAGGATGAAATTCAGCAGAGAGAAATGCAAAGTTTTGCACTTGGATTAGAAAAAAACGTCCATTTTACAATTGTTAGAAGGAGTAGGCACCATTAAAAGGAAGTTTGTCTGAAAAACATAGAGAGGTTCTGGTGGAGTGTAAGCTCTATATGAATGGGATGTGGCAGCCAAAAAAAACTAATATGAACTTGAGACTACAGTGGCATCTTATCTTCCAGTAATAGAGAGGTGACAGCCCCATTGTCTCTGCCATACCTCATCTAGAGTCTTGGGTTTACTTCTAGGAACCACAGGTTAAGGACATTAGTAAACTGGAGAGGTCCAGAGGAGGGCCATCAAGATGGCTGAGGGCCTGGATTCCTTGTTAAAGAACTAGGAACGTTTAGCCTGAAGAAGAGAAGACTGGGAGTGGGGAGGGACATGGAGGTGTGATAAGGCCCCAAGTGTTTGGAAACTAGCTGGTGGAAGAGAGATTAAACATGTTTGGCCTCAGAGGATCGAACCAGGAACAGTGAGTGGAAATTGCAGAAGCACTCAAGCTTGATGTCAGGAAAACCTCCTCCTAAATTGTGCTCTACTGAAGTGGAATGGGCTGCCCGAGAGAGTGAGTTTGTCCTCCTTGGAAGTATCCAAGTAGAGCCTGGAACACCATTTGTCAGCATGTTAGGGTGGAGAGCCCTACACCCTAGGGTGTAGAATGGACTACATAGAATGCTGAGGTTCCTTCTAGATACGAGATTCTATTAAATTTACAAATTGTCTTCCTTTTTCCAAAGGGTAAATGTAAATTTAGTCAAGATTCATGCTTTGATCAGATACCCTTAGTAGGTAGTCTCTGAATCTACCAGCCTGGAGTGAAAATCAGCACTTGTGAGATTCACATTTATTTATAAAATATAATTTTTCTCCCACCCCTTCTTTCACTTATTAGTATTAAGTATTGGTCTGTAACCAAGGTATAATATGTTATAATTAAAATTCCAAACAATCAACTGGTTTATTTGAATTGTTAATAAAAGATAATTCATGAACTTAATTGCTCTTCCTTTTTGAGAACTTAAAGCTGGGGAAGGGAGATGTTATGCATACTGCATTTATTCAGCTATATTTGAAAGGCTAAAACATTTGTAATATGTCAGATTTGATATTTTTAGTGTCATTATTCTAAAAGCTTCAAAGCACTTTATATTCCCATTCTTATTAGTAGTCCTATGAATTAAGTAGCAAACAGTCCTCTTATTTCCATTTAAAATGTGGAGATAATGAAACGTTGGGAATTTTAGTGAGCTGGTCAAGATTAACCAATCTTAGATTAGAACTCCGATTCTGTCCTGTAGTGCAATTTTTGGTAGCCCTTTAGCAATGTTTAGCTGTCAATACTTTCTAACTAATAATAGAATCATTTTTTGAAATACAGGTGCAAGTAGTTGGGATAACCTGTGCAGCCTGCCCATTCCCATGCATGAATAATCTTAAATTTCCTATAGTTGTGTTGGATGAGTGCAGTCAGATGACAGAACCTGCTTCACTCTTGCCCATTGCAAGGTAATTAAAAATTTTCTGTTTAAAAAAATGCTTTAAAATCCCACAATCGTGAATATTCTTAGCAATTCAAATCTCATGAATTAACTAGTTTCTAAGAGGAAAGATGGTAAAGAAAATGAGTTTTTTTTAAATGAAAGAGAAAAAAAAACCTTCCACTCTTCCTCAGAGGTTGGTCCAGATGAACTTTATGAAGTGCTGTCTAGGTCAGGTTTTCTGAGAAGTCTCCAGTTATTACTAATAACTATCAGACTGTAACAGAGATAGACTGGTTTCTACCGAGGGACAAGAAAGAGAGGCAGCATGTCAGAGTGCAGTGAGTACTGGCTCTCAAACTGGAAGACGTACCTTCCAATCCCACTTAACACGACCTGTGAGATCTTAGGGCATGCTCTCATCCTCCAGGGCCTCCATCTCTTCCATCTATAAAATGAAAGGGTAGAAGTTGATGATTCCTGAGGTTCCTTCCAGTTCCAGAGCTGTCATCATTGGTCCCCAGTAGGTCTGAGAGGATCTCCTGCCATTCCACAGTTTTAACCTTACTCTGGTTTTGAGGCTCTAGACCAGTAATTCTTGCCTTTTTTATGTGTCATACACCTCTTTGGGAGTACAGAGAAGGTAATAGGCCTCTTCTCAGAAGAACCTTTTTAAATGCATAAAATAAAATATGTAGGAGTACAAAGGAAACCAATTATATTGAGCTACAGCTATCAAAATATTCAAAAGGCAAGTTCGTGGACTTCTAGTTAAGAACCCTTGCATTAGAGCAAGGAAAAACAGCTTGACAGTAAGTGAAAGTTGTGTCTTTCTTCATAAACTTAACTCTATATCTGTATCATGTGTGTCTGTGCCTATATGTGGGTACATGTATGTATATATTTATACATATGTGTGTACTGTATATACACATATGTGTACATTTAGAAATGTTAAGAAGTGCTGATTAAGATAATCAGAACAAATACTTAAGTGCAGAGTCAAATCAGAGTAAGGAAGAAATCACAGGTAGCAATATTTGTCTAAAGACAGGAAAATCTTTTCATAAAGCATTTCTTATAGTGCTGTATGTGTGTGTATCCTTAGAAAGTCAAACCAATCAAAGCTACATGGATTTTTAGCTAAATGAATGTGCTTTGAATTTGTGCTTGAATTTGTTTTAGAGAGATTTTTTTTGTCAACTTGATTTAAATTTGGTGTTTTTTGAAATTTTTATTTTAGGTTTGATTGTGAAAAACTAGTTCTTGTTGGAGACCCCAAACAGCTACCTCCTACTATTCAAGGTTCTGAAAGTGCTCATGATAGTGGGTTGGAACAGACTCTCTTTGACCGGCTTTGCTTAATGGTATGTAAAGTTAATATTGTCCAAAGTAATTTTATGGTACATGATACCCAGCTTTTGGGCACGTGAAGGAACTTATATCTGCGAAAACAAAATATGTACATGTGAAAAAGCAACATAATGAGTGCAGATGCAGGTAATGTAAGCTAAATGCTTAAGTGCCAGGTCAACCCAGAATACAGGAGAATCCCAGTTGGGTGGGTCGTGTTTGTATAACAACAATAAATCTTATTAGAAAACACTTCACTACACCACTACATAGTGTTCAGATAGATAGGTAGTTTGATAGGCAATTTTCACTGTTTAACACTTAGTACCTATCTGAAGCATGTATTATTCTTGTTGGCTAACATCTGGGCCCCATAGAGTTCTGTTGTTCATATTGAAGCACATAGTATTTTAAGTAGATTTATTTCATTTGAAAAATATTTCCCACTAATATTTTTGACACAATAGAAACCTTAATTACAGTGTATTTTAATAGATAAATGTTTTAATTTAAATTATTTTATGCAGATGAATCACAAAGAACACAACTTGTCTCTTTTTTTTCTGGACTTAGTACTATGCCTTACATGTTTAGCCCAAATTAAAGCATTACCTGGTGGTGAATTATGGTTTCTACATTAAATAGTAGGATGGAATAAAATAAAATGAATAATGAATGGAATGAAATAAAATAAAAGGGGTGGAAACAGTGCCCAGCACATAGTAGGTGCTGTATGATAGGCAGGATAAGCCTCACCTTGACCGCGACACGAGAGGAATTCCCTTCTGCTGGAACGCAAGTGTCAGACACAGGTGGCCTAGTTCTGGCCCTACACAGAGGCTCAAGAGTCCAAGGGGCATTGCAGGAGGGGAATTCCCTGTCATTGAGGCATGAGGTTCAGGCTGTCAGCCCTTTCTCTCTTTGGTGAAGGCACGAGCTCCTGCCCATGAAGGTGAAGCTGCTGAGGGTCCTCATCCCAGCCCTGGTTAGCGACTTAGAGATCGAGAGGGAAAGGGCTTTCCTAGAGGTGAAGCATGAGGTCCATTGACCAACCCCTTACTTTTTCTGCAGAAGTCTGAAGGTGGGTTGCCTACCCTGTCCAGGAGGTGTAGTTAGAAATGTAGTTTCAGTTTTGGTCAACTCCCCTCGAACTGAATGGAGGTACTAATGAATCACACCCAGCTTATTACCCATCCAGCCAGTTTAGTGAGATTCTGACAGGAAGCAATGACTCCAAAAGTCATCATAGGAGATTTTATTGGCAGTGCATTAACATTTACCACTACCAGAGGTTGGTGGTAGATGTAACAAGGACCAGAGGCCCTTGCAATGGCTCAAACAGTGAAACTTATAGGAAAGGAGAGAGCTAGGATGCAAGGGGTCCCAATCATGGAATTTGGCAGTACCTACGGGAAGGAAGAACTGATCCCTGCGCATCAGCTGAGAGTGAGACACAACCAGGCTATCAAGGGACTGGTAGTGATTGTTCTGCCCACTAGGTATTTGAATGGGGTTTATAGAGGGGTCTTCAGAAATGTTCCACTGACCATCTGTATGGTGATTGGGGTCTGTCTCCCAGTGCAGGATAAGGAAAAGACCTCTCAATATTTTGACCAGGGGCATCTTGGACAATGATGGCTTCACCATAAACTGAGAAAGAAAATTATTTACTGAATTATGTTTTCTGTTGTCTGTAATTTTTTTCCTAAGGATCACTATACAAATTTTGGCCCAGGCTAACTGCCCTTAACATATGAAAACAACCCCAGACAACATTTGTTGAATAATTGGTCTAAAACAGAAATATTTGAATTCTGTAGTTTGGGAGAATTATATCAGTTTAATATAAAAATATTTTCAGTTAACATCTTTGATTTTCAGTATTTATTAATTTGACATTATTCAGCTCTTAACCTATCTAATAACACACCTGGCAATTTAAAAATTTCTTTAAACATTATCGTTCCTTTTAATTGGAAAAAATAAGTACTTTTTTTTTAACCTAGCTTGTTTTTCCACATTTAAACTCTATAGGGTCACAAAGCGATTCTACTGAGAACTCAATACCGTTGTCACCCTGCTATTAGTGCTATAGCAAATGACCTCTTCTATGAAGGACATTTAATAAATGGCATTTCAGAAGTAGAGAGGAGCCCTTTATTGGAATGGTTGCCAACCCTGTGTTTCTATAATGTCAAAGGAATTGAACAGGTAAATAATAATTTTAATTTGTAGCAGAGACTAGGTCCTTACAGCTTTTTTTAATCTCCACAAAATTTTGCTTATAAAATTTGTCAGCCTTTCATGGAGAGTAATTTAAGACCTATTTCCTATTGCAGATTGAAAAAGCTAACAGCTTCCATAATGTGGCAGAAGCTGCTTTTACACTCAAGCTTATTCAATCACTGATTGCAAGCGGAATAGAAGGATCCATGATTGGGGTGATAACATTATACAAATCACAGATGTACAAGGTTTGTGTTACACTCTTAGCCAGATGTGACCATAAAAACTTCCTATTTGCTATTTATGTTTTATACCAATTTTCCATCGCTGGTTTTTAAAGTCCATTGTTACTTACCGGATTATAACTGAAATGTTCTGGTTTTGGTCTGAATGGTCTGGCTTTTTGTCTCTTTAATTAAATATAAGTCTAACAAGGTTTAATTAAATTCATTTTACAGCTGTTACATAAAGAATGCAAATAAACAAATTAGAGGGGAGAGAGTATGGTGCATGCTTTGTGTTTTGAAACAGATGGTATTGAATTTGTTTTCAAAAATGGGCTTTCATTATTACATTTCAGCAGCAAATCAAGGATAGACACTACATATTAATGTATACATGTTGAAGTACTTTTTAAAAATCTGTTTTCATTTGTAGTTGTCCATCTGCCCAAAATTTATACATTCAGAAAAATTCTATTATCAATGGATGAATGATTAGTTCTGATTTTGTCTTGGAATTAGTATTGTTTGCCCTGCTAATAATTCAGAAATGATTTAGCCAAACAAGTTAGAGTTGGAAAGGGATAAAGAATTACAAATTGTCCACCACTGGTTAGAAAAACAAAGTTTGCGCTTGAGCATTTGCACCTAACAGCTGCGGGATTCTGTGATCTGTGCTCAGCCCGTGCACGCTTCAAGAATGCTTCTCCGTACGCTGAGTGTGAGCAGAGTTCTTCAGTATCTGAACCAGAGACGTCAAAGAGTAGCCCTCAAAACAAGGCCTTTTAAAGAACAGTCAATCTTCTCTCTTCTTCAGCTTTGCACTCTGTTGAGCACCGTGCACTGTGACCACGCTACCCTCAAGGCTGTGCAGGTGTCCACCGTCGATGCCTTTCAGGGCGCAGAGAAGGAGATCGTCATCCTGTCCTGTGTGAGAACAAAACACGTCGGATTCATTGACTCAGAAAAGAGAATGAACGTTGCCCTGACAAGAGGGAAGAGGCACTTGTTGATTGTGGGGAATCTGGACTGTCTGAAGAAGAACAGACTGTGGGGGCGGGTGATTCAACACTGTGAAGGTAAAGTGGCAACATGAAAAATTTACCAGTGTTGAATCAAACTTGTTTTCTGGAAGGTTTTTCTTCCTTGGGAAAAAAAATGCAGCACTTTGTTTTTGGCATGATTCAGATATGATTATAAATTACCTTAGTTTTCTTTCAGACGCAGAAGTTGATTTCACTAGCCTGGGAAGCTCTGCCAACATGCCTTCTGGGAAGCAAAGACCAATGTCCTGTCCTTTTTTTTTTTTTTCAGGAAGAGAGAATGGGTTACAGCATTCAAGTCAGTGTGAGCCAAACCTGAACCTCCTTCTTAAAAGTTATTTGGAGAAAAAGGCAGAAGAAAAAGAAAAATCTCAAAAAGAGAACTCTAAAAACAAATCTCTTTCACAAAAAGACACGCTATAGCCTGCTATTTATGTAAATTAAAAGGTATTTGATAACAATTTCTTTATTATTAGAAAATTTTGGATACAGGAAATATACTCTACTCTCCTTATTTTTTCCCCGCACTGCTTATAATGGTACCTTTAGATGAGAGGCAAATGTAAATAAATACATGTTGTAAATAAACACACAATGTTAAATAAACCCATCAACAGTGGTTTCACCTAAAGACATTCAGATTAGTTACCATCAGGTAAGTGTGGTGCTGTAGAATGGTATATGAAATGTCATAATCCATTAACTTTGAGGTTTTGTGTTTTTTAAACCATGTGGTCTGTATACTAAAGAAAAGAAAATGTCAGTGGGGAAGTGGCATATACCAGGATTACATAGCTTCTGAAGTAATTGCTTCCAAAGTCTGTGTCCTCAAACTCCACCTAGCATATTGAGGCTTCTTCATGGTTCTTTCAAGATTGATTTTTGGGGTCCTCATCAAAGTCTTTCACAGTACTTCCCCATGTTTAGCCTATGGGAAGTTGTTACAAACCTGGTATTTCAGGAGATAAGTTATATGGTAATATGGGTAACATGGCCTAGTATTTCTCAATACTAATTGACAGTTCTGTGCCTTATAAATAATTCCAAAGAGTATTCTTTTTGTTTTTGTGTTTTTGCTGATTTTGTTGTTGATTCATTTAAGTCGTGTCCCATTTGGGATTTTCTTGCCAAAGATACAGGAGTGGTTTGCCATTGTCTTTTCCAGCTCATTTTATAGATGAGGAAACTGAGGTAAACAAGAGTTAAGTGACTTGGTCAGGGTCACACAGCTAGTAAGTGTCTGAGGCTGGATTTGAACTCATAAAGATGAGTCTTCCTGATTCCAAGCCCAGTGCTCTATCTATTGTGGCACCTAGCTGCTGGTTTTGCCAACTTATGCATTGCTTTTTGAAAAGAAAATAACATAGGCAAATGCAATTTTGATGTTTTTCAAATATAATGAGATACTTATAATGGAACAGGATATAAGTATCCTGCATTTATAGTGATAACTCCATTTAGTAGCCTGCGATTGAAATTACACTAAAACTATGCTTCCTAACTTTGTGTCCAATTAAAGCAATTTAGAATAAGACATATGTTTATTTATTTATTTTGCCTTATGGTCTAAACATTTTATAAGCTTAAAATAATAACATTTTTATTCTGCTTATAATATTGATGGAAATGACATTAACTATAAAATATATAAAGGTATTATTTATATATTAAGTCCCATAATAAATATATTAATTTCATTATAATAGGAAGAGGGGTTATTTTGTCTTTCCTTAAATGTAACATAAATTGTCTAGGCCTTGGTCTTTCACCATTAATTCTGACAAACTTCTTTAAATTAGCAATTATAGTTTTAAATCATAGCATTAGAGGTTATTTAATCCATCTCCCTCATTTTATAGCTGAGAAACAATACCAAGAAGCAGAAGAAAGGCTAAAGCAGAGATACTTAAAGAATAATCCCCTTTCCCTTTCCAAATTGGCTTAACTCCTGTAATTTGGACTTCTTGTATACAAAATTACCATTACCTGGAAAGAACTCAGTATGTTTGTGCAAACAATTTCACATCGAGAGGTAGCACAGTTTCATCTTGGAGAAATGGGCTTCATGATTTCATTTAGCCATAAGTTACATAGATACTTGGGGAAGGTCGTATACCCTTTGAGTGAACAAGTACTTCCTTCGTGAGTGCAGCTTGCACCTTAAACATGTCAGCTCATCCTTTGTGATTCTTTTCCACGTCCTCTGTCTTTTCCACAAATCTTCCATAAATATAAATGTAATAAAATATAATGTAATAAATGTAATAAAATAAATATAATAAATAAATATAAAGCCTACCTAATATGCAAACACATTCCTCTAGATATTTTAGTATCTTTGAATACCAGGGCAACACATATACTTTTTTTTAAAAATTTTTTTTCCCATATGCTTTTGAGTTGAAAATTTTTCTCCCTTTTCCTCCCCCCACCCTCCCCAAGACAGCACACAATCTGCTATAGGCTTTACATTTACATACCCATCAAACGTATTTTCACATTAGTGAAGTAAGTAAAAATTAAAACCAATAGGAGGAACCATCAGAAAGATGAAACAAAAACTCAACAGAAGGTAAAAATAAGTGATAGCGATTCAACTTCCATAGTTCTTTCTTTGGATGTGGACAGCATTTTCCATCCCGAGGCCTCTGAAGATGTCTTAGATCCTCGTAATGCTGAGAAGGGTTCAGTTTAACAATCTTAGTCATTGCATAACGTGGCTGTTATTGTGTACAAAGTCCTCTTGGTTCTGCTCACTTCACTCAGCATCAGACCATATAAGTCTTTCCAGGTTTTTCTGAAGTCAGCCTGTTCATTTCTTATAGCACAGTAGTATTCCATACATTCATATACCACAACTTGCTCAGCCATTCCCCAGTTGATGGGCATCCTCTCAATTTCCAATTCTTTGCCACCACAAAAAGAGCTGCTATGAATATTTTTGTACATGCAACACATATACTTTTACTACATGACTAGAGAAGTCCATATTTCTAACTGTACATATCTGATGATTTCATGCTATTTCTTGCATGTAAATCATCTTTGGCAACGTGTTATACTCTGCTTATGGCCAGGAACCATTACAGAGTCACCTGCAATGTTAATTCACTCACAGTGATGCATGATAACCGTATGGTATCTGGGAAAATATTGGCATTAATAAGATGAATGTTTGTATAAAGTAGCAGCTTGTACTCATTAAGCCCTGCACAACTTCCCAAATGCAACCTAGCCAGTCTGCTCTCTTCCTGATCAATTCTCAGCCCATTTCACTGTCCCTCTGCAGTGCTTGCTCAAGATGTGTATTGATGGAATAACTAGCAGCCACTCCTCTGACCGGATAACATAATCCATGCAAACATTCAGTCTTCATCCACTTGGTTTTATCTTGTGGATTGCTGGGCTAAACTCTTTTGTAGACCTATGAATCCCATTTAGTAGGTGGTGTGGTGTTCTGGGGCTGGATACAATAAAGAGATTGTCATCTACAAACATCATCTGGAGAATCTCATCATCTCAACAATTCCTCTCACATTTGGATTCTGCACAGAATATTTTCTATGACAAACATCTTAGACAAGTATTTCCCTAGTCAGAGGTGGGGAGCCTGTGGCCTCGAGGCCACATATGGCCCTCAGGATCCTCAAGTGCAGCCCTTTGACTAAATCCAAGGTTTACAGAACAAATCCTTTCATCAAGGGGATTTGTTCTGTGAAGTTGGATTTAGTCTAAGAGCCGCACTTGTGGCCTCAAGGCTGCAGGTTCCCCACCTCTGCTAGCTTATGCTTTGTGAAAGTGCCGAGAGAACCTTAAACAAAATGATCTTTATGGTTGCACCTCCTAAGGAATTTTCTGTAATATATATGGGTAACAGTGCAATTTTTTCGTTCTTAGGATTTTTTTTTCCCTTAAAATGAAAGGAGAATTTATTAATTTCTACCCAGTCTTATTCCTACATGAGGCAGCAGATGCTCCTCCAAATGAGTGATTCTTTTTTTTGTTTGGTGTTAAATCATGACCATGGTAGGAAAGGAAAAAGAGCTCACAAAAACAAAAGAATCATGTTTCCCAATGAGATTTATTGAAGCCTATTCTTTCCTACTAAAGAAAGCTTCAAGAGAGTTAGAAACGGTAAGGCTGCAAATCTTGAAACTAGTGTCAGATCAGCTCACGGGGCAGCTGCTCCGAAGATAACTTTCCCTTTTTGATTAAGAAAAGCTTCATGTCTGACACTGGTCACCAATAATGCTTCAGCAGTTTTCCTTTCCATCAGCTCTAAGACAGTAATTGATGGAGAAGATCTCTGATTGTGATTGATTGAGGCAGAGAAGAGGAAAGGAGGGAGAAGAGAATCTCACCCCCATGCCAAACTTTGTGGAACCTGTTCTTATAAACACAGGGGCTTCGTGGCCTCAGCTGGCCTCTGAAGAACTTTCCTAGACACTAGTACTCCACTCCTAAAAGGTGGCCCTGAACCCATAAAGGACTACCGGACAGAAAAGATGCCAAAGTTTGTTCATAGCCTGAATTTCGGACAACTTGCCAGAGCATCAACCAAACATTTATTTGTTAAATGCCTTCCATGTCTAAGAACCTGCTAGAAGATGCTGGGGAATTAAAAAAAAAAATGAAACAGTCCTTGACTCCAAAGAGCCTACATTTTGTTATGGGACATAACACAGAAGTGACACATAAATGTATATAGAATAAATACCGAGTAGGTTAGGGAGGGTGGTCAGGCAGCAGCAGCTCTGACCAGGAAATGCTTTCTGTAGAAGATGGTGCCTTTGCTGCCTTGAAGAAAGGCATTCTGGGAAGCAGAGGTGCACATGGAGAGCATCCCGTAGTGGATGGCCAGTGCAAAGGTGTGGAGATAGGATTGGAGTGCCATGGGTGAGGAACAGAACGAGGACCAGTGACTAGATTATAGATCACGGTTAGAGATGTAGTGCATGATGAGGCTGGAAGGGCAGATTAGACCAGTTTGTGAGGGATTTAAAAGTCAAACAGGTGTTTATATTTTGGCCTAAAGAGAGGAGTAGCATAGAATTATAATTAAGGGAAATCACTTTGGTAGCTGTGTGGAGGATGGATTGAAGGGGCAAGAGACCAGGCAGGAGGCCAGGATAAGAACCTGAACTTAGGTGGCGGACGTGTGAGTAGAAGAGACGGATTAGATGTTATGGAGATGGAAATAGCAAGATTTGGCATTTGACTGACTGTGTGAGGTGGGGAATGAGGTGAATAATGGTGAATTAACCTGGGACCCTGATTTGCAGGATGATAATACCCCTGACAGAAACAGGGAAGTTTAGAAAAGGGTTGGGTTTCAGGGAGAAGATAATAAGTACTTTTTGGACATGTTGAGTTTAAGACGTCTATGGGATATCCAGTTTGAAATGTCCAGTTTGGCAGTTAAGTATGGGATGGGTCATCAAGAGAGACTATGTCAGTCTTTAGACTCTAGAGCATGACATAGACATACACACACACACACACACACACACACACACACACACACACACAGAGGAAATAGGTTAATGTTCTATTTGGTCTTTTTGTTCAGCATTTTATATTGAAGTGCCTTGTGTATATAACGTGACCCAGTAGGCAATTTCCAGGGGCTAGAAAAGGCCATAATCTCTAAGAAACAGCCTGTTCGAAAAGAGTCTTTAACTCTGGATTTATTCAGTTGGGTCAAATACTTTCTTTTTTCTTTTTTTCCTCTTTTTTTTTGTAATCAACAAACACTCAGTTTCTTTTTGGCTGAATATGTTATTTGTTATAAAGAACTTAAAAGCAGATGTGACCATATTACTATTTTCCTATTCAGTAAACTCTTATAATTCCCTATTATCTCTAGGACAAAACATGAACTATTTTGTCTTTAAAGCCCTTTGCAACCTGGCTTTCCTGACTTATTACATATCTCTCCCTTTCCTTCATTGTATGATCCAATCAGATTGGCCTCCTCTTTGTTCCTCACACGTATCCCCCCCATCTCCCTGCCTCTGGGCCTTTGTACCAGCCGTTCGTCTCCATTCCCATAATACACTCCCTTTCTTACCTCTACCTCATAATACCTCTCTTTTGTTTCCAAATACCACTTACCACATGAAGCTCAGTCATCATCTTCTATATGAAGTCCCTTCTGA